GAAGAGTGCTAGTAAGAGAGAATAAAGGAACTTTCTTCTTCTGTTTAAAACAGGGAGATGTGCTTTGGAATCAGTCTCTTTAAGGATAAAGATATCTCTCTAATATGAGACATCTCTAATGTGAAATCTGTTGTTTACCTATGACTAGCTGATGTTTTAATGAAAGTGTTGTTTACCTTTTAAATTATTTTTTTAAACTTCTTTGTATTTGGGAAAATTTTGCCTAAACATGCTTTTTCAGTATAAGTGAACTTAAAATCTATGGGTGTCTGCAAAACCTAGATATCAAGCCATTAATATTTTTATCTCTGCATTCTCTGCCTGTGAAATGAAGCTACTGGAAAATATTCTCCACGTGGTAGCAGGGCTGTGGGAAAAAGCACAGTGTAGCTTGTAAGTGAATAACTATGGCATTTGAATGCATAGAAGCACCTTAAATTTTAACAACTTCCTAAGAAAAAACAATTTTATGCATATTTCACTGATTTGGATCTGAGATATCAGTAACTTAGAGTTTGTATAACTATGAAATTATTGATTTTTACACTACAAAGAATGTGTTTTGCTAGCTAGGATGACACCATGAAAACTGTGAACATTTTCTGCACTTTTGGACATTGTACTCATGGGCAAACTTTTAGAACCCCCTGTTCTGAGGTTAAAATATTTAACATTTAGTGAGACCAAATAGAATTTATGTTTAAAGGAAGACTTTGCCTCTTGTACTTCTTACCATAAACTGAGATGTCAAATCCCCAGTATGACAGTCCCTGCTACCACAGGCAGCTCAAGGTGAGGGATCTTTGCTCTCTGCCATTCTCTTTTGCTCAGACCAATGGCAGGTGTGAAGGTGTAACTCCACATCCTAGGACTTTCAGTCCTGTGTGTACATGCCATGTGATTCCTGCTCAGTCACAGCAAATGTGCATTGTGCGGTGAGTAAAATGCCTAGCTCAGTACCCAAGATCTGCAGGAGTGAAATACAAAGACCAGAACAAGAATCAGACAGTTACAGTGTTGTCACTGTCTAAAGTTTCCCCAGGAAATATTATGAAATGTCTTGCTCAGCAGCTTTCTTTCCTTAAGTCCCAGTCCCACCAGGTGTTCTCATTCCATCTCCTGCACTCTCCCACAACCCTGATTTCACATCACCTACCTGAGCTTTCCTTTTTCCTTCTGGATGGCTTTTTCTCAGAGTCATTTGTAGGATTTGCTGGTGCCTCATCATCTTCATCCACGGCCACACTCACTAGGCTGGTGCTGCTGCCCTCTGACTCTCCAGAAGCCAAGGCCAGCCCTGGGTTTGCTCCTCTTGTGGCCTCAGGCGCTGCCAGGTGCCACTCAGGGTGCTGGAATGAGGGGTGCTGCTCCTGCGGGAAGCTGTGAGGAGCTGGCACCAGGCAGGAGGCTGAGAAATCAGAGTAAGCGGCAAAATCTGCTTTTTGCTGGAAGGAGAATGGTGCTGCTGGATAGTGGCTGAGCCCCGGAGCTGCGCTCAGGTCGCTGTGGGAGCTCCTCACACAGCCCCAGAGCAGGGAGGGAGGCTGTGGGCTGCGCATGCAGCTGCTGCTGCTGGGATCCATCTGCTTCCAGTCCTGCCCACGCCTCAGGGCTCCTGCCTGCTGACAGCTCAGCCTCCAAAGGAGAAGAGAAGCAGAGGGAAACTCTTCCAAATTTGACAGAGTAGGTCTCCTCCCTAAACAACAGTTTGCTCGCGGGTTTGATGCTGCTGCAGGTTTGCTGCTTTAGGAACTCTGGTTCTAAAGGTCGTCATTGCCAAGCAGATTTAGGCAGGGATTGCCATGAGCTGCTTCCTTGAGAAGGGCTGGGCATGAGTGAAACACTTTTTAAATACTGTGCTGGGGAGACAGTGACAAGTTTGTGAAGTGAAATGTGAGCGAGGGGAGGGAGGGGTTAACACACATACCCTCAGCCCCTCCAACCAAAGCAAAGCAGGCAGCTATTAATCATCTGAAACCTTATATGCACATCTAATGGGATTTGCAGATGGAGCCTTTTAAAGAAACAATGTCTGTATTTTTTTTTTTTAAGGGAAAGAGCAGCACACCAAAAAAAAAAAAAAAAAAAAAAAAAAAAAAAAAGTCTTAATGTTTCCTTGTAACACTATGAAGTTATTTTTATTGCACTGTTAACAAAATTCTCCTTCTTGGGTTTAGAAAAAGCCCTAAAACAGGATGCAATAGACACCAAATTTCAAGAACTAAAGTGGGAAATAGAAGTAAGAAAAGACTTCACTAATTATACATAATTTAAGGCCAAATCCTGAGGTTAAAAAATTTATTAAACCTGGCTTGTACACACATGCAAGGCTTTGGGTGATGTTTGTTTGTTTTGTTAGATTTGTAACACATGTATTTGCTGAGGGTTGGAGTTTGCTGCCAGTGCCAGTTATTCTTTCTGTATTCTACTTTCTAGGGAATTTTCAATACACCCTCCTGCGAGGAAATCTCCTGATTTTATGCCAATGAAAGACGTGTTTTTCATCTTTTGCTGAACATTTTATAGTTTTTCCTAACAGAAAGCAGATTTTTTTTTAGAGTCTAGAGCCATCCCAGCTGAAATGACATGAACAGGGAATCTGTTCTCAATCCCTTTTTCCCAGAAATGTGGCAGCTGAGAATGCCCCAAACCCTGCTATGCCAGGGTTACTGCAACTCCTCCCCAGGTTGTTCTCCATATTTTTAATGACAATTTAGGCATGCATGTGTCCCATGTTTCCAGAATCTGCTTGCAACCATTTCAAATACTCCCCCAGGCCTTGCTCCACGTTGTGGGTGTCTCTTTCCCTTCTCCCACCACTGCTGCTGGGTTTTGTGTTGTCTCAGGAGCACAGAGATTTAACAGACATGAGGTCTTCATTTTCCACAAGAGCTGAAGTGATACTGAAGTTATTTTGGTTTTTGTAAAGTTCAGAAATGTGAAATTTCATGGAATCTGGATGAGGTGGGGAATGTGTTTATCCTGTTGTGTCTGTTGGTTTTTAGAATTTGGCCTTTTCCAGGAAATCAAATTGTTTTAGATTAAATCCTTCTAAACAAGAACATCAAATCCCTTTCTATCACAGGAATCTAAATTTTCATGCAAAATACTCAATATCTGATAGCCAATTCATTCTCTAGGAAGAACTCACCTAAATACTTAAATCTGTTGCATTAAATAGTGACCATTTAAAATCATTTCATACTCTCAGGCAGGAGGAAGACCCCTGGACTGCTCTTTTTTTTTGAAAAGTCAGGTTATGATGAATTTGTGAATGGTGCAAGTGTTTCAGGCACTGACAGGATCTAAGTCAGACTCCAGGACGTTTTGCCAGTGTGGAATATTTAATTTATATTCTGTGTGTGTGTGTGTGTACGTGTTCACTACATGGGTTACTCGTGGTTTGCATGAATTCAGACTAAATCTGTTTTTCAGTCCTGTCTTTAGTCTACAAAAAGATCTCTCTAATTAGCACTTAGATGGGTTACTTGCACTTTACTTACATGGGTTGCTTACATTTAACTTACATGGGTTACTTGTGGTTTGCATGAATTCATACTAAGTCTCTTTTCAGTCCTGCCTTCAGTCTACAAAAAGATCTCTGTAATTAGCACTTCCGTGGGTTACTTACACTTCACTTCCATGGGTTTCTTACACTTCACTTCCTTGGGTTTCTTACACTTCACTTCCATGGGTTACTCGTGGTTTGCATGAATTCAGACTGTCTTTTCAGTTCTGCCTTCAATCTACAAAAAGATCTCTGTAATTAGCAAACATTCATCCTTGCAGGGATAGAAGAAAGGAGAATTGTCCCTTAGTCCCAACCCCACTTGGGTCAGGATCAGCTTTAGGCCTCTGAGCAGGCCTGACTGGATCCCCACATCATCTCCTGTCCCATTAAACTGTTCAGGCCCTGATCTCCTCATGGAGCTCTCTTGCTGTTATTCCTGCAGCCCCAGATGTTAAAAATAGCTTAGAAACTGTTGTAAAATAGTTGATAATTGTTAAGCATGTACTGTTAGTTTGGTTGTGATATTGTAAAAGGGGTTAAAAGGGTAGTTATAAGAAATTACACCTAAGTAAAGTGCACCACTCCCCGAGCAAAATGCGCCAGCCTGGACAGAATTGTAATGGGCCAATCAAGCACCTAAAACTGGATTTGCATGAAGGATCCAAAAAGAAACCAATCCAAAGGGACAAAAAACAGTATAAAAAGGGGCTTCTGGCCCAGGGAAGCTGTGCTGCTCCACCTGGAACATCGGGGACATCGCTGCTGAAGCTGACCCAGAGCTGGCGCTGCAGCATCCTCAACAGGATTGCTCCTGCTTGGCCTGCGGGCCCCCTTGCTTTAGGCCTTTCTTTTTATTACAATAAATGCTGAAATCACTTTAGTACCAGGAGTCTGGTCCCGTTTTTAACACCAGATGTGGGAACAGGAGATATCTTCTTTCTGGGAGGAATTTCTCCCTCCTGCCCAGCCTAGACCTCCCTGGGTGCAGCTTAAGGCTGCGTCCTGTTCTGCTGTCCCTGGTGCCTGAGAGGAGAAGCTGTTCCCTGAAATGCTGAAATCACTTTAGTACTGGAGTCTGGTTCCATTTTTAACACCAGTGTCTGTGTCCTGTTCTCCTGTCCCTGGTGCCTGAGAGGAGAGGCTGTTCCCTGAAATGCTGAAATCTCTTCAGTACCAGGAGTCTGGTCCCATTTTTAACACCAGTGGCTGTGTCCCTGGTGCCTGGGAGGAGAAGCTGTTCCCTGAAATGCTGAAATCTCTTCAGTACCGGGAGTCTGCTCCCTTTTTTTTAACACCAGATGTGGGAACAGGAGATGTCGCTGTTATTCCTGAGCCCCAGATGTGGGAACAGGAGATGTCGTGGCCTTTCCCGGCCTGGGAACGCCCGGGCGCCGCGGGGCTCCCTCACGCCGGCAGCTGCCGCTGTCACTCGGCGCCTCAGCGGGGGCCGGGGCCGCTGCATCTTCCTGACACTTTTCTCCTGAAACAACAACAACCAGCTCCTCCTGCCCGGCCCCGTTTGGTGCCTGAGGCTGCCACCTTTAACCTTCAGAAAGTCAACATTTCTGCGGTCAAGCACTGAGAAATGGATGGGGAAAACGGCATGACGGAGGTGGGTTCTTGTGAGGAGCGCTCCCGTAAGGAGGCAGAGATTTAGCCTTGATTTTGGTAGGAAAATTAATCCACCAACATCAGAAGTTTATGTCCAGAAAGCAGACAGAGGACTCCTTTGGCTTTATTCCAATAAAGGGAGAGGCCATGGGGCATTCCCCTGGGGTCTCTCAAATTTTTGGAGGATGCAGCCTCCCTTTTAATCCTAATTTCCCACATTTCCCTCTCTCTTTCCCCATTGGCTGAGGTACTTGAAAGGTAAAAAATTCCCGATACGCCTGATACCAAAATTTTCCCTCTAATGTATAACCTTCCCTTTTAATTTTTTAATTCTTACAGAATTTCGGTGTTTTTCTTCCCCATTGTTTCTGTCATCTTTCAATGTTTAATTTCATTCATCAGCAAACCTAAAATTTATTTATAAAAGCAGATATCTTTTTCCATCCATCAATCAGTGGAATCCTTCCCATTGTTTCTTTTATCTCCCAGTGCTAGTTTTATCTACCAGCAGACCCACAGCTTGTTTGTAAAGACAAATCTGCTATTCCTCTCAATTTTTGTCTCTGTCCATTGTGGGATTTCCCCAGGTAAGGAGCAGAGCCAGGAGCAGACCCTTCTTCTGCCCTCTGCAGACCCAGCAGGTGAAAAACACGAAAAACACGTTCACTTTCCTGTGAAAATTTAAAAAGTTCAATAAAGAACAGTAGGAGATAAAGATTATGGAGTAAAGGTTGTTATGTCAGGGTGCATCTCTGCACTCAGCCAAGAGCACACTGATTTTTGGGGATACCCCTTAAATACCTTTTCTATTACACCAGCTTGTTGCATATTCATACACAATTATGTATAGCAAACTTTTTCTTTCAACTAGTTTCTATATTCTAAGAACTGTTTAGCATGGTTCTTTGGATTTGCCTTTTTTTTGGTTGTGGTTTTAGTTTATTTTTATTTATTTATTTATTTATTTTTAATATATTTAGTTTATTTTTATTTTTGGGTTTTGGTCTACACTGTCTTCAGAGGGTGAGTGCCGGTATGGCTGTAGTAGGTGTCTTTTTCATATGTTTTTTTGATGTTATCCCATCCAAGCAGGCATTTTAACACAAGCAGACTTAATATCAGCTATTTCACTAAGCTTAATTAACAACAGCAATAAAAAGCTGTATTTTTATTAAAAAGTTATTTTAACACTACACATATAAACCCTATTTTTATGTTTGCCAAAAGCCAATATTATAATGTGTATCTATAAGAGAGAGGAGAATGGGGGTGCAGCAGCTGTGAGAGCCCTATTTCTATGTTTGCCAAAAGCCAATATTATAATGTGTATCTATAAGAGAGAGGAGAATGGGGGTGCAGCAGCTGTGAGAGCTGGGGAGGAAATGCCAAGCCCAGAGATAGGCTCTGTGTATCTAAGATTTTAGTAGTAATTTTAATAGTTTTCTCAGCCTTTCTGGGGGAATAAGAGAACAGAAGAAGTGTAATGTTGGAACCCTGGTCACTGAGAATTGGAGACTTTCTGTGCTGCCAGGCACTGACCCCCAGGAGAACACTGCATTGTCCTGAGGCCAGGGAGAAGGCTTCCAAAATGGAATGACAGAACTGGGATTGTGGGTGTGGAGTTTGTATAGAGGTGTGTGATATCACAGGGTGGGAAACTTAGAGTTGAAGGGTTTAGAATATAGGAATATATATAGAGGAGGTTTTGGGGTGGAGGTTGGTCCTTCTTCTTCACCTTCTTCTTCTCCTTCTCCATGGGTTTGGCTGGTTTTGTATAAATGGATAAAAAAAGTATGCATTGCAGGCCATGGGTGGTTGGTTTTGGGTTAAAAGCAAAAATAATTTAGGTGCCATTTCTTAATTGGACAGTTTATCCTTAAAAGACCTTGTAGAGAGAGATGGGGCTCCATTTTAGTTTGTTGGAGTGCACTGCTGCAGAACTCAGGGTTTGTGAGGGTGTAACATGAATAAGAACTAATAAACATCTGAATGCCAACAAGAAATACCACCTCACACATTTAATCACAACCCTGGCAAAAAGAAGTTAAAACTCAACAGTGTAAAGTTTAGACTAACAGAGGCAGAGAACCAAGAAAGGAAAAATTATCTCCTACCAACAAAAGTTAGAGAGCCATGCGATTAAAGAATGCTGTTAAAAAACATCAGATATTGGACAAAACGTCATGAAATATTAACATGAATTTTGATGCAATGCCATGTGACATATGACTCGAGTTTGAAAGGCCTGTATTTGCAGAAAATCAGTATTAGATTTTTGATAATTTGAAGGAGGAGATTTAGAGAGGAAGTCTGCATTCCTTCTTTAAAAAATAAATTTAAAAGCAGCTATTTTATAACAGTGACATCACAGTTGCATGATATCTTTATCTCTCTTCTCCCTAAACTTCTAAGAACAAGTTTTCAGTCAATTTGTAGGGAATTTTGAAGCACAAATAATATGTAATGTCAGAGAAATAGTGTTGAAGAGAAGGTGCCAAACAACCAGCTCCTGGATCTGCAGCAGTGAAATGAAAATCTGAAGTGAAATGAGTAAATAAAGCTTTTGGCTGCAAAGATTTTACCTGAAACGTGTTCCACTTACTGAGAGGAGTGCCTGCCTTGCTCTGCAGCTGGCATCACCACCACAAGCATTTCTAATTTAATGATAATGTTTCCCTTAGCACTAAGTCAATATTTCCGGGATTAATTAAATTTGATGGCTTCACAGTAGTGAAGGAAAAAAAAAAAAAAAAAGAAAAGAAATCCTGCTTCAGGTAGAGGAAACATCAAGAAGTGTAAGAGACAGTTTACTTGATAATTTATCTTAGGACAGAGAGCAGTAGAAGCAAAAAGCAGAAGAAAGAGGGATCCAACTTTAAGTTTGCAGAAATACTAAAAGGAAAAAAAAATCACTAGCTAGAAGCTGCTGTAATGTTGCACAATGTTTTGTTCCTAAAAAATTGACATGAAATCATTTAAAAGAAAAAAAAAAAGGGTACTGTCATGGAAATTGGGAAATTAGACACAATAAATTCTAGGATGAGTAGATGCATACATGTTTTTCTTGTACCTTAGATCTGTTCCCACTTAATTGGGATTATTTTACATAATTTATTTAAAACATTCTCTTTTGGTTCCTCTCTTCTATGAAAAGTGAGTATGAATGCAAATAGGTAAATATTTATAATATTGATTGAAATTTAGCAATTACAGGAAGCAAAGCATGCTCCTGTTTCAGCAGCATGTGCTGCTAAGGGAGCAAAGATCTTGGCTTGCAAGTCTGGACACATCTTCTGTATCCCTTGATTGTCTCACCTCTTGAAGTTCTTTTTGTGGATTTTAGGCCCAGCATCATGTAAAAATGAGGGATATCCCTCCCTTAAAAGGCCATAAAAGCAAATAGTGTCTCAGCTACAACATTTATCCTTAAGACAGGAAAGACCATTTGCCAAAACTTTGATAAATCATCTTTTTTTAATGACTCCTGTCTTTACGTTGTGCTTGCTATTGTAGCTGTTTCATGGAGAGCTGAATGTCCTGAGCAAGGTCCAAGGCAGTGAAACTTTCTATGAAATCAAGAATATTTTGTAAGATCAGCAAAGGAACAGTTAAAGAGTTTGACTGGCAGATAATTTGAAAAATACAAAATTAGCTCAGCTTTTGGCAGATTGCAAAACTCTTCTGTTCTTTTCATCAGATAACATGAAAGAAACAGGAATCATGATCATGGCAAGGAACAGAGAGGAGCAGAACACTCAGCCTTTTAAAACCATTTTTTGTGGCTATGGATTAACAAATCTATATTTTGAGGCAAAGCAGAGTGCAACATTTTTATTTTGAGTTTTTGTTGTATTAAGAATCCCATCTGTTTCTGGAGATCCTAATAAATACATTTGTAGGATTATCTGACAAGTGATAAACCTCTAAATTTCTTCAGTGCCAAGAGATCTGCACTACTTCTCTTGAGACCACCCTTTGCCTGTAATGCTTCAGTAGAGCTAGTTAAATTAAAGGCAAAATTAAATTAAATTAAATTGAAATTAAAGGTTAAATTAAATGAAAATTTTGTAAAGGATTTTTAGAGGAGCCAGAATTTATTCCTCTGTTGAATGACTGTAATAGAAAATTATTTTTGTTTCCTAAATTATAAAAGCATTCATTAAGTTATTACTATGTGGAATGTAGTCACAGAATGTTTTGAACAGATCTGAGTAAATTCCAATATTCAAGGTATCCTATGTGATCCTGTCTAGTAATTAAAGTTCAGTCAGTTGCCTTTTTTTTGGGGAATTCTGCTGAAACCACAGAACAAATTGTGTTGTATTACACCTTAGAACTAGAACAACACTGACTGGTTTCTGTTCAGTTTCAGTTCTGTTTTCCTGGCAGCAAAAGAGCAGGAATTGTGAAGGAATGAATTGGTGTGGGGGAGCATCTCCCTCTATTGGTACATTTTAAAATGCAATGTAACCGTGGCTCCCATTTCATTGCACCAATTCCACTGGGTTTGGAACATCTTTTTCCATGAAAAAAAGTGAATTTACACTGAGCAGTGAATTTACACTGAGCAGTGAATTTGCTCTGTGAAAAGTGAATTTACACCGTGAAAAGTGAATTTATACTGAGCATCTTGTCCTGAAATAAAGACCTGAGGGATGCAGGTTGAGTCTGCTGGTGAGAGCTGGGGTTCTGTGCTGGCCTCCTGTCAGCAGTGGAGAGAGAAACACAGGGACTCGATGTGGTTGGATTAACTTGGATAAATTAGTCCAAATATATTGTGGACTACAATTAAATTTGGATTAATTTGGATAAATTAATCAAAATTTATTGCAGAGTACAATTCTTATTTACTATTTTAAGGAGACTAGCAATGTTCTACTACAATTATTGGGTTAAAGATCACATCAACAAACTCACACATTTTGCTTGCAGAAGTCTGATGTCATTTGCTTTTTCTGGTAAATTCGTTTGATTTGATCTTCTTGCAATCTTGATTTATTTCTCATAATTCAGTTTGCTCTTGCCAAGGCATCCTGTTATCAAATCTCTTGTGCTAAGCAGGTGCAAAGTCCATCATCTGTCCTGTGGCCCCCAGCACCTCCCTCTGGAGCCAAAGCCTTAGAGCAAATTTTCCTTGCTCCATTGCCTGATGATCTGTCCTCCAAGGATACAGAAAATTGATTTTGCCATGCAGGATGTGGATCTTGGAATACAGAAAGGGCAGCTGAATGCAGCATCCTCATGTTACACGGGTCATCATCATGTCAGTTTATATATGATAAGTATTCATTATATATATATAATATATAAATAGAATATATATTATATAAACAATAGAATATATAAGAAATAGAATAAATGTAACATAATATAATAAATATATAGAATATACATTATAGAATATATAATATAGGATATATTATTACCTATAGTATAATTATAGTTATATAATGTAATTATACATTATATATAATAAATAATATTTATATAATTATATAATATATAATATTATATTTATATAATATATAAATAACGACATATATTTCTAATTATAATATATAATATAGATTATATATAAAAATATATTTAATATAAAAATTTTTATATAGATACATATACATACATACATACATATATATAGATATAATATTCATATATAAACTCCTTGGTTTACATAAAGCCAATAAAACATTTTTCCTCCCTGAATTTTTGTGTAAGTGTGCTGGTCACCAGCGCAGTTTGCTTTGGAAAATAATTTGCAGAAGTCCTTTTAGCCTGCTGCCTTTGCATGAAATAGCAATTCAGGATTTTTCGAAGGATGCTTTCTTTTCAAGCCACGAGGTGGAGACATCTACCTGCAATTCCGGGTGAAGAAAAAACCTCTACGTTGTGGCTGAGGTTTAAATAAAATGCTGCCTTCCCCTCCCCTCCTTCCACTTAAAAATAAATAAAATAAATCAATAGATAAGAACAGGCTAAAAGTATGAAGATGCTTTATCAAGCACCTCCATTATTCTTTTGGTTTTCATAAGAAAATTCTAAAAAATAATGGAATTGCAGCACCTGTCCACTGCTTGTGTGAATTTCCATGGATTTTCCATCGTCTGTTCCACAGGATTTGCTTCCCAACCCTCAGGATGCAGCTGAGACCTCGAGGATGCTTCCAGCAAGAAAAACCAGCCAGGAACCCCTTGGTGTGAGAGAAGCCCACATCTGGGCACAGGGATAAATAAATAAATCAATAAATAATAAATATATTAATTTAAAAATTCCCAGCTGCAGCAATTCTTGTAGGAAGTGCCAGTGCTGAAGTGCAGAGCCAACAAAAGCACACCAGGTCAGACACCCACCCTGCAGCTAATGGCAAAGGAGGAGGGAAATTCTGTCTGTGACTCAGACAGGAGTTACAAAAATGATTTTTAAATGCAAAGGATTTATAAAATTTAAATTTTATGAATTTATAAATTTTAAAAATATATATTTATAAAAAATATAAATTTAAAAGATATATATTTATAAATTTATTAAATAGGATTTTTATAAATCCTGGGTTTTATTCAAACTCAGCATTTTTAAAGAGAGAATTTTGGAGACCTTTTTTTGCAGTGAAACAAGGGCAAGCTCAGGAGGAGGAGCACATTCAGGATCCCTGAGCCTTGTGGGGCCTTTGTGAGCAGGGACAAGGCTGTCCCCAGATTTGCTGAATTCATGTTCCTCTCTCCTTGGCTGAAGTCCTTGCCTTGCGGCTCTTTCCTTATTTGGTTTTATTTTATGCTTATAACTTATTTTATATATATATATATATATATATATATGTATACACATACATATATATACATACATACCTATATATATATATATAATACTCCTGTTAATATATATATTATTATTACTCCTGTTTATATATATATTATACTCCTGTTAATATATATTTTTAATACTCCTGTTAATAGATATAATACTCCTGTTAAGAAATATATTATTACTCCTATTTTTATATATAATTTTTTACTCCTGCTAACATATATATTATAATCCTGTTAATATACATATTATTACTCCTGTTAATACATATATTTTATACTCCTGCTAATGTGTATATTATTACTCCTGTTAATATAGAAAATTATTACTCCTGTTTATATATATATATAAAATACTCCCATATATATATATATATATATATTACTCCTGTATATATTATTAATCCTCTATATGTATATTACTCATTCCTGTTCTTTGTTGCTCAAAGACAGTGAGGCAAACTTGACTCAGGATGCAACAGTTATGGAGAAAAAAAATTATTTTCACATCTTCATGTCTTATTCTTCTTAGTTCCATGCATGATAAAAAAAAAAAAAAAAGGTAAATAATTTTTTTTTTTTCTATTGGATATTTTATTTTTTCAAGTGCCAAGCAACTGGTTTCCCCAAAAAGCAGCAGTTTCCTCAGCTGGAATGGTCTCTGTGGTTGCCATGACAGTGACTGGCAGGATCCTAACACAAAGGTGAGGAGCCTGTAAGTTGAAGGAGGCCTCATGTAGGGCTTGATTGATAGAAAAAGTGATTTTTAGCTTGGTAAGAAAGAGTGTGAGCAGCTCCTCCACTCGCCCCTTGCTGGGTTCCCAGGGCCTTAAGCCCTCTAGCAAGTAAGGAAGTATTTGCCCAGAAGCTGTGAGAACAGAAGCTGATCTAAAAAAAACCCCAAGGAATTCTGTTTATTTCTGAAAGACTCAAAATTGGGAAAAAAAAAAAGAAAATAAGAAAAAGGGGGAAAAAAAGGGGAAAATCCTAAAAATAAAAAGGCAAATAAAAGGGGTAAAGAGGAGCTGCTGGTTCCAAAGTCTGTGTTACACGTGCCCAGCTGTAGGTAGGAGGATGTGGGGCCACTGACAGATGGAAACACCCTGCCATTTGGGGTTTGGGTAGGATATTTGGGGATTTGGGGATTTGGATATTCAGGTATTTGTCTCCTGGCCAGCCAGGCCAACTGGTTAACATGACTCTGACTCCTTAGACAGAGCCCTGCAAGACCAGGTTGATGCCACAAAATTTCTCTTCTGATTCCCACAGCTGCTGCTTAGCCATGGTTTTAGGGAATCTCTAAGATACAAATCTGCTGTAATTAATAAATCTTCAGCTCCCCATTAGTGGTAAAGATCAGGAGACTGGTAAGGTTCACTGGAAATGAAAAAAATTGGAATTTTTATTACTGTAATGTTCTAATTGTGAAATCTGCTGCACACATGTATCAACCACAAGTCAGAATGTGTTTGTAGGTCTAACATGATATTCCCATTACCAACCAGTGAGTTCTTAGAAAAAGAAATAAGGGAAACCATGGAAGAAATACTTTTATGATGCTTTGTTCTGCTAGTGTTGTAAGAGTATCTCAGTTGTGGAGGTCAGTAAAATGTGGGAAAAAGAGTGGGAAATATCCTGTTGGAACCCTGGGTGCTGAGAATTTTAAACTTTCTGTGCTCAAAGGCACAGACCCACAAGAGAAATCTGCATTTAACCTAAAGCTGTAGAACAAGCTTCCAAAATTAATTAAGAGTACTGAGATTACGAGTGTGTAGTTAGTTAGAAGTGTGTAATACCACAGAGCTGAAAACTTAAAGTTTGGGGTTCTAAAATATATAAATATATAAAAAGCAAGATAGAAGTTTTAAGGTAGAGACAAGTTGTTGTTCTTTACTTTCTTCTTACTTCTTCATAAGTTTAAATAATGTTTTGTAATTAGACAAGAACCCCACATTATGAGCTTCAAGACATCAGTTATTGGGTTAAAAAGGAAAATAATCTAAAAGTCCTTTCTTAATTAGATAGTTTATTCTTAAAAGACCTTGTAACAAAAGATGGTTAACCATTTTGTGCCTTAATAATAAAAAGCTACAAAACTCATAGTTATAAAACTGTTTCACCAATAAGAAATAATAAACACCTACTTGGCTCTCTCCTTTCAGGCACAATGGGATTTAATACATATTTGCTTGGGATTAAATACATATTTGATAAACAGCTGGAGCCAAGTGTGAGAAATGAATTTGTAGAGGATTTTTCAAGTTTGGTAGAAGGAGAAACAGAACTATGAAAGATGCATTGTAGTGGGACCCACGAGGGGTGATTTTAGATGATTGGCTTTAAGGCATTTACAGCATGGTGTGGCAAAAGCTGATAGGCCAAGAAACACTTATAGTGTATTGTAATTAGGAAATAATTACCTCCTGATTGTGATGATGTGAATTATAACATATGTGTTGTCTCACCCTTCACATGAGACTGAAAATGGGATAAAAGTTTTTAAAGCACCTCTCAATCACCCCATCTCTGAGCCAGAAAAGGGCTTAATCCAACAGCCAAGCTATCAGTATATTGTAAAAATATTTATTTTTATTTGGCAGCAATCAGAAACCCTGCTTTCTAGCCATGAATGACCCAAATAACAACATAAGATGGTTTTAACCTCTGAATGAGTGTGGTTTCATCAGAAAAGGTGAGTAACAGGGAAAGCTAAAAGGATTTTTCACTCTTTCCACCATTTAGGTGTCTATATGTTACACCTACAGCTGGAATGAGATATTCAGGAGTTCAGCACTCAACAGTGATAAATTGCATTATTAAATTGTCTGTTCTGCCACTAGAAGCCAACAGCAGGAGAAGACTTCAAGGCCTCAGATGCTCTGCTCAGTTCTGTGCAGGACTGTCAGTCCACTGCAAGAAGGAAATGGCCAAAATTAAACACAAACTGACATTAGATCCACACTTTTAGAATACTGTAGGCAAGGTCCAATTAGGAATTACCACTTATTTATTATGAACAAGTAGAATTCTAATTAGGCTGATTGGAGCCTCAGCTACTCCCTCAGATTGGATTGGCAATTAAGGTACTTCTTGTGTTAGTAATTATGGTTTACCATGAAATTACTCTCCCTTCTACCCCCAAAAAAGCATCGAATTAGCCATGAGTGGAATTATATTTATCACAGGACCCTGTGCAGTAGAGACTTTGCAAATAAATACAAACAATTAGAAAAACCACTCAGAGTGCTGTGCCAGCACAGTAATTAGGGTTTGAAGAGAGGAATTTTTGCTGAAGCCAAACTGGCTGGGTTGTCACTCAAGAGAACAGCCCTGAGGGTGTGTCCCCAGCTTCTGGCTGTCCTGGTCTCCTCCCAGGAGAAAGCCAGCAGGAGGAACAGCACAGAGAATGGAATGTTCTACCAGCAGGGTCCTGGAGCAAGGAGCCAGCTTTGGGAATTCACCAGCCTGGTGTTCTCTGAGGTGTCACAGTGACCCCAGTGGGTAACTGGAAGTGACCAAGCCAGACCAATCCAAGGCTGGTGCAGGGGATTTCAGCAAAAAGTGTCAACAAAAGGATAGCAAGCACAAGCTAAACCTGAATTCTTCCCTTACCCAGAGAATTAGAAAGCAAATTTCTTTTTCTAATTCAATTCTAGTCCCTGTAGCTGCAGTTGTTATTGCAGTGACAATTTCAAAGTGTTATGCTTTTGTCAGGCTAATGAATAAATCTGCTTCTGAGTCCTTTTCTCTCCCTTTCCTTGAAAAAATGCATTTGTCTCTGGCCTCGTAGCCAAAGTGGAGAATTCTGAGCCACAGAGCTTTGGACTTTCATAGAGGGAATATTCATCCCCCTTCATTATCACATTAATATTGGAAGGCCATCTCTAAATCAGTTGGGTTTATGTATCATCAGCAGGGGATTAAATCCTACTGTGTACAGATTTTAAGGGCCACTTTAATTGTTTAACTTTTAAGTTAGTATCTTTGCCTCACCCACTGTGCAGAAACAGTGAACATTTTATACTTCAATTTGTTTAGCCATCCAATTATGCATGAACAAATTGAATTTTCTTTAGAACATGAAGAATTTTCCTAGTTTAAAGTGTTAAGCTTCTTTTAACCATAGAACCAAAAGAAAAAGTAATAAATTTGTAAGTTCTCATACCTTGACCAGCTTTAGGTCTGTGTTTGCAGGAGCAAGAATTACCTTCCCCACAGGAGTCAGTCCTAGGCCTTCAGCTAACTGGGAGCTTGGGGTTTTGCATGAATTTTGATAGGTAAATGTATATTTTCCAATCTCCAACAGAGTTAATTCTTCACAGGGTCTTTCTCCTATGGATTTTGCTGTCTGATTTTGCATGAATTTTGATAGGTGAATGTATATTTTCCAATTTCCTAGGTTTCCAACAGAGTTAATTCTTCACAGGGTCTTTCTCCTATGGATTTTGCTGTCTGCTACTGTTTGTTTTTAGGCAGTTGGCACACTAAGGACTCCAGCTCAGTTTGGGAGGCAGATAATTCTGTGTTTGTCCAAAGCAGAGCTATACAGACACTGTAGCTTTCACTGCTGGAGTAAGAGATTGAGGAATATTCCAGAAAGAATCCTCCCACAAACTGCCTCTCCTGCAATACCCACTGGCACAAAAAATCCCCTTTTTTCCTTTCTGTGTCATCTGCCAAAGAGTTCTGCCTGGAAGCCTCCTTCCATGGGTTAGACCAGCAGGGTGTTCCTATTTGAAAGGCATTTGGTTCACTGGTTTGTGGAGTAAAAAATCTATTACCAAATAGAAAGGGTAGAAGAAACAAAACTAATAGAGTCTTACAATAGAAATATTCCTGTGTTTGTACCTGTAAAAACCACTTGTACTCCCATCTGTGTGTGCCTTAGATTTCATCCAAGAGGAATAATTTCCCCTTTTCTAGAAAGTAGAGACAAACAGAAAATTAACTTTTGGTGCATCTGTCATGTGTAACCACCATTCAGGGATGAGTTATTAAATATATTGTTAGCTACAGTTTGCAGAATGAAGAAAAGGAGCTGGAAAATGAATTATATTACATATATTCTCCTCTTTTTTTATCATTTGCCAAGGATTAGAAATTAATCATTAAGGACTGATATTGCAGAAACAGGATTATTTCTCACAGTAATCTGTGGGACCTTTGTGTCTTGAGCACATATTCATAAATATGTGCTCTGCACACAAATTGGTCTTCCTGTGCCTTAAAGCATTTAGTTTTCAGAATAAATAACAGGTTTGGAGAAAACACCCAAATCCTCCATTTGCTATCTCTAAAATGAACAGAAGAAAAATGGAAAACAGGCAAAAGAAAGGTTCGTCTGTCCTCCTTATGTCTGCAGTAGAGTCACTGTGTGTGACAGGGAAAAAAGGGGAAAAAAAAAGGTAATGATTCTGTTCTTTCTGCTGCTGAAACATTCTGAGGACAGGAAAATTTACTGAAATATTTTGGGAAAATAAATGTATTTCTTTGAAATGGAGGGTAGGTTGTTCTCTATAAAGCAATGGGAAGTAATGGGTTATTTTTTTTCTTTTTAGTTTTTTTTAATAGCATACCTAAGTTCCAATCATGAGTCTAAGGCAATATTTTTTTTCCATTTCACTTAGATGTGATTTTTGATCTTGAAAGGCCTTAATAATACAGTGAGGAATGCAATTCAGAGCTAGACTGTAGAAATAAGTAGATTTTGAATGGCATAATAAATAATTAAGTAACAATTAATAATATAAAGGAACATTGAAGGAAAATAGACAGAGGATGTCCATGAATTCCCTTCACCAGACTTATATAATGTATAATTTAAGATATATTGCCAAAAGAAGGCTGATAATCATTTGTCCACAGGTCTGTAAAATATGACATGATCATTCTTCCTATTTCAGTAGGAACAATCTGCCATGCAGACAGCACAGAATAGAACATTTGTATCATAGTAACTCAAACTACCAATTTAACTTAGACAAATGAAAAAAAATAGGCTGCAGCCCACACACTGTGGCCTGGCACAGAGCAGCATCCAAAGATGAATGCAGATGATGAGATTAATTTGTTGGGCCCTTACTTATCACCTAGAGGCTGAGGCTTCCTATATTCTGAGGTCATTTCCTGATGCATGCCCAAGGTGCTATTTCAGCTTGGCTCCAGCCAAACAGGGCAATTTACTGCAGCCAGAAGGGGCCAGAATTACCACATCTCCTGATTAAAATGCACTCACAGTTCAGCTCTTTGACACCTGAGCCTTGGTGCTGCCATGGAAAGGTCTCTGTCCTTTGCTCCATCTCATGCCTCTTGCTTTTTGTCCCTGTGACATTTTAGAGCAGAGGATCTCACAAGCTCTGGTGCAGGATTTTCTTGTTTGCACTTATCTGTGTGCTGGTGTTTGAGCATGTCTTCTCTTCAGGAAATTTTGGTGTAGAATTTGAAAGAAACATATTCCCCAGTGCTGCAGGAGCTGTCCTGAACGAGGGGTCAGCCTAAGGGACAGAGCTGAGAAGGTCACACTGCATTCTGGATGGATTCTTTTGCTTCTTTTCTTTTGCTTCTTTTCTCTGCCAAGGTCAGGATTAAATCATGAGAAGGCATTTCTTGTTGGGACTCAGATGTTTATTAGTTTTTATCCATGTTACAGTCTGACAAGCCCTGAGTTCTACAGCACTTCAGTCCAACAAGGTAAAAATGGAGCCCTATCTCTCTCTCTGCAAGTCCTTTTAAGGATAAACTGTCCAATTAAGAAATTACACTTAAATTATTTTTACTTTTAACCCAATAACCCACCACCTCTGCCCCGCAATGTGGATTTTTATATCTAATTAAACAAAACCACTCAAACCCATGGAGAAGAAGGAGAAGAAGAAGAAGATGAAGAAGAAGAACAAGAACAAGATGAAGAAGAAGAAGGGAAGAAGGACCAGCATCTGCCCTAAAACCTCCATCTTGCTCTATATATATTACTATATTCTAAACCCTTCAACTCTCAGTTTTCCACCCTGTGATGTTACACACTTCTATTTAAACTCCACACCCACAATCCCAGTTCTATTATTTAATTTTGGAAGCTCCTCCACAGCCTCAGGTCACATGCAGTGTTCTCTTGGGGGTCAGTGCCTGTCAACACAGACAGTCCAAGATTCTCAGTAATTCTCAGCCATATGTTACAATTTTCTCAGCTGTTTTCCTGATGAAAACATGGCCTGAATCATCCTGGTGGCTTTAACAAATTCCTTTAAAATGAGTCTTTAAAAGCAGCCAGCACCCTTCTTCTGCCTGGGAGGTTCTGGCATTCCCTGCAGGAGTCCATCACTCCTGCTGCCCTTCAGCTCCATCACAGGTGCTCCATCATTTGTCCTGGACAGACACAGGGAGCTCTGTCTGCAGCCACACATTAACATGAAAATTTATCACAATTCAGTGTGTTGCACAGAGTAAAAGGAGTTCAGTTTGGGGTATTTTTTTCAACTTAACAATTATCTGTGGGGTCCTGCTTCCCTGTGTGCTGTCCCTGATGATAGAGTACATCTAATACATTTTTTATTTTTATTTACAAAAATGCATTGTGTTTGGGGGTGTGTCTATCACTCTGCCTCTCTCATTTCAGCTGGAATTGGTTTTTCCTGCAAATTGCTATTAAAAATCAAAGCATTCACAGAGAGAAAGTTGTTTAGGCCTGACTGTTGGGAACAAAATCTCCTACAGTACCCAGTGTTCCTATGTGCTGCATGTGATTCCAAAGAAAGATGAGCAATTTAATTGCATGAACTAGTTAGTATTTAGCTTTGTGATATGAAAATAAGATATTGCTCTGATGACATTTAAAGTCAGTGAAAAAGCTTATTTTGACACCATTATCTGACTCTGGTGTTTCTGCATTTCTTTGCTTATGGAAGAGTCTTCCTTGTGGTGCATTTAAAACCTAGTGCTAAATGTTTTCTGGTGAACTCAAGAATCTAATGGTTTTACATTTAAAATCTAGTGCTAAATGTTTTCTGGTGAACTCAATAATTTAATTCTCCCCAGCAATACTGGTTGATTATCCACAAGGCTTGCATGTATTTTTGTTTTACAGGACATAAATAAATGCCCAGTCCTGGGAGCAAGATAAGATGCAATTCTTTGAGCTGCAGAAAGGACAACACAAGTGAGTGACAGCAGCAAACCCATGAGACTGGGGCAGAAAACTTTAATTTCTTTGTACAGCATGCACATGGAAGGGTCCTTCCCTCCTGTTTGGGTAATGATAAATGACAAGATGTGACAGTTATTAATTAAACTGCCTGCCACAGCAATGTACATGATGATAAGAGCTAAGAAATGTGCAGCATTCCTCCTACCCCATCATGAGAATGAGGCCCCTCCACTGTTCTCTGGCACAGCAGAGATTAGAATAAAGAATCAATATTCCACTACAAGCTGGCTACCTAGTAACTGCCTGAACCCTGGGCCCTAAAAATTGAAATTCTCCCTCGTGTGATGTGCAGTAATTAAACTTCAGCATTCTTTCTGCAGGAAATGTTTCTCCTGTGTTGTTCCCACAGATTGTGCTACAAGAACAATTTTAGCCCCATGAACTATTAACCAATTATGAAGGGATTTTCTCAGTCTGCTTTAACTGAGGATCAAAGACAAACCCCAATTTTATTTTTTTTTTGCCAGATATTGTAATTTAGGACACAAAACACCAAGCTTTGGTCAGGCCAACAAAATGGACTCAGTAACTCAGATCCTTTTAAACTTTTCTGATTTGCCTTACCAATATCCAACTGCTTTTCTTCCTTAACAAATCCATTGCCACACAATTCCACTATATTTATCCTGTTCCACTTCCATTTATTTCTTTCTCATCTTTATCCTTTATGTATGTGCTTCTTGGAGCTAAGGATGTCTGTATACTGCCCAGTAACTCAGAGTGAAATTTTTGAAAATTAACTAATTTTAAATTGCCATCAGCTGCAGATGTGAAGAATTCTTCTGTTATTACTGCTAAATATGTTTATTCTGGCTGATTAGTTTGGCTTTTTTGGCCTTTCAGACAGAGAAGATTTTTTTTTTAACTGCATAAATGGTGGTTGTCCTTTAAATACTGTCTTAGGAGCTAGATATCAAAAATGAGTACATCTCCACAGAAACCCATATCAGTTGCAGTTATCTCTTGGGCATGACTTTCTTCTTACTTTTGGGGGCTTTTTTTGGGGGGTTTGTTTGGGTTTTTTTGGTTTGTTTTGGGTTTTTGTTTTTGTTTTTCTTTTTGTTTTTGTTTGGTTGGTTGGTTTTGTTTTGTTTTGTTTTTTAAAGCTTTCTGGACCAGCCTTTCACCAGACTTGTGTGTGAGGTCTCTCTGAAGAGCCAGGTCTAAAGAAGTTTTACCATAACTGTCATTTCCCCATAAAAACATTGGAATGAATACCCCTTGGCCTGTGTCATTCTCTACACATACATTAGAATTTATATTTCCACTGTTAGCAGAGAAACACAAATAAATTCAAGATCCTTTGGCATGTCTATATATTACATATATAGGCATAACACATATTTCAAACTAATGGTGGTGTTTTTCAGTAAATACAGGCTGATGGCACTGCTGACCAAAGCAGAATTCCAGATTTGAGGGCTGTGTAGCTCAAAAGTAAATTGGATGTGGGCTGGGTTTGTTGCTCACATGCAAGCTGCCAGCTCAGCCTGTGCTCCAAACCAGTTGCACCCATCCAGTGGCCCCTTTGGGGTCCCAAACCCCAAAATAATAAAGAATCCTTACAGCTTAGACAGACAGCACTCCAAACAGAAGAAAGGGATCTGTCTGAGGGTGTGATGTTTGGATTCTGAAATTAGTTTTCCCACTAAAGATGTCCTATTCACTGACTCCTATCAGTGCACAATGCTCCATTGAATATTTACATTTATTGACAATTTTATTTCCACAAAGTGATGTTTGCATTCTGAAATTATGCCACTTTTCCCACTGAGGATGTCCTGTTCACTGACTCCTATCAGTGGACTGTCACAGTCATATTTTCTGGGAAAATCCCCCTTGCCCAGCATTTCTCTCCTGGGAAGCTGAGAAGCTTCAGAGAAAAAAAAAAGATGACAATATTATCTCATTTGCTTCTCCTGTGTTTTGCTGCTTTGAAATGTAGTTTGAAGATTGTTTATCCAACATGTGAATTGTTTTGACTTGTTAGCCAGTGATGGCCAAGCTGTGTGAGACTCTAGAAGAGAGAGCCAGGAGTTTTTGAGTAGTATCTTTAGCTTTCTGTCTGTATCCTTTCTCTATTCTTTAGTACAGTTTTAGTATAGCATTCTTTAATATTATATAGATCATAAAATAATAAATTAGCCTTCTAAGAACATGGAGTCAGATTCATCATTTCCTCCCTTTGATGGGGGTCTCAGAAAATACCACAGTGGACAATGTTCCACTGAATATTTGCATTTATTAACACTTTTCATTCCACAAAGTGATGTTTGGATTCTGAAATTTGATGCCATTTTCCCACTCAGGATGTCCTATTCACTGACTCCTATCAGTGGACAATGCTCCACTGAATATTTGCATTTATTAATACTTTTATTTCCACAAAGTGCTGTTGTTCCACTGCAAGTGCAGGTTCAATCCTTATGACTGATTGTGAGTCCTCAATGTCATATTAGAGATGTTACTAAAAAAACCAAAACAGTTCTAGAGAAAAGTATCTTTTCCAGTGGGCCCATTTTTGAATTCCTGAGAGGACTCTGGACACCTCTGATTTAAAGATTAATTTATTTGGAAGCCCATACTAATTGGTGATCAGGCTTAAATACATATTTTCACTGGAAGTCTATGTCATTGTTTGTCCTCTTCCTCCCCTCAATAATTTCCTCATAGCACCACTTTTGTTTCTAGACATGCAGAAATTCAACATGAGTGAGAAGTTTCTGGTTTTGAGCGCTACCCTTAATCTGAAGAACAATTTTAGAAGAAAACTATCACTTTTAAAACTAACTTCTCCTGCTAATTTAACATGGGGAAAAAAATAAGGCCCTGCAAATAGCAAAGCTCTCCAAATGGGGAAGTAATTACCTTAAATTAAACCTTATTTCTGGTTATAAAAAAACCCCAACAAAACAACAAACCAACAACCACCCAATTCTAAAAGCATGTTGGGCAGACTGGAAGCATTAGAGTTAAATACTGGCCAGTTTATAGTGGAAGGGAAGGAAACAGACAGGAGGAAGGAAGGAAGAAGAGATTAGAGAAATTGAGAGATGGAAATAGTCTCAGAGGAGCCACCATGTCCCAAAACCTATCCTAAGGGAAGTTTTTACACCAAAGAATCTGGAGGCTTGAATGAAGAATGACATCACTTATTTATTTAGCCAGAGCTGAGCTATTTTCTTAATTGAAATAACCTCATGCTGCAAGCATTAAATTGTTGGGGGAGTGATAATGATTCTGTTTAATTTAGGGACTTGATAACCATGAAATAAATACCCTGTTATTGCTTGGTTTGAGAGTATATTTAATTTACCTGGAAAGCCATGAACTAGAAAGCTTGAGCCTCAGGGTTAATGCTCCAAACAGCCTGGAGTAGGACACCTCAGTGGCTTTGGATTTTTAGCTCACTCAAGGATTTGGGACTCAGGACTCAGTCAAGGATTTGGGGCTACTTTGGGATGAAAATTATGGTATTACCCTTTGAGATTAAAATTATTATATTACCCTTCTGGACACCAAGAACAGAGCAAAGTGTTCTTTCTTCATCAGAAAATTCACAATTTCCATCTGAAGCTGAGTTCCCAAGTGGCATGACAGGCCCACTGAATCAGCTGTAATCCAAGAGGTCAATATGGGGCAAAAAAAAAAAATTATTCACATCACACACTCACCTGGGGAGGCTAAAATGGATGTTTATGGCTCCAGGAGAACCTAGAGCAGACTTCCAGCACCTAAATGGGGTCCAGAGGAAACATGGACAGGGCTCTGCATCAGGCAGCCAGGGGCAATGGTTTTAAACTGGAAGAGGGTCAGATTTTAGGAAGAAATTCTTTACTGTGAGGGTGGAGAGGCACTGGGACAGGGTGCCCAGAGGAGCTGTGGCTGCCCCATCCCTGAAGTGTCCAGTTTATCTGCACACTGTAATGTGGTAAAGATGAGGTGTTTTAAAGGTTCTCTTTGTTTTATACCTTTACTTCATAATTAACAGGGCCTGTGCTGATGAGTTTTACCTCTATTCAGGTTTTACTGATTAGTTTTATTACCCTCTTTTTACAGTAAGAACTTGCTCTTATAGAAGAAGAGTGAAAGCTTTTAGGATTTAAAGAAATAACCAGTTCAGCAGCATCAGAAATGCTTAACAGAGACAGAAAAATTAGCAATACTTCCTCCCTTTGGTCTTGAGACACACTGTGTTTGTTCTGCTCTACCCAGGTTAAAATTCATTTTGGTAAATAATATAAAAAACCAGCAAAGCCCCATATTCCCAATGCAATGAATGGCAACAAGGCATCGTGAGCCTTGTCCATGGAACTCTGCTGCTTGACTCTCCAACAATCAGTGATAAAAACTGTTTGCACAGCTCTGGGAAGAGAAATGTCAATCCCCTGAAAAAACTTGGAGTTGAATTTTCCTTTGGTGGCTCCAGGAGTGCAGGGAGCAGCTGCAATATTTTGTGCCACTAAATGACATTGGCTGCCTGTGCTGCAAGTTCTGCAGTTTGTGCTGCCTTGATTTTAAATGCTGTTATTTTAGAAGTGGATTCCATGACTGGCCTGTCAGGGGGAGTTCCAGTTTATCAAATTTCAGGTTCACAGCATGTTCAATCCAAACTCCAGCTCCATATAAATATGTTTTATGATAGGTGAAGCCTTTTGAGGCTGTTTATTATAGAAAAGTTGTTCTGTGTGCCCATATGCTGCACTAATTTGAGTGAAACAAGCTAATTATAAGTTGATGTCATATGGCTAAAAAAATACATGTTTATGCCTTGTGTATTTCACAGTGCTGACTTTCTCAACCACACTTGCAGAACACACATGGGATGTGTTTTCTGGGCCTAGGAGCTCACTGGGTAAAGTTATGCTCTTTATTTTTCAATTTCTAATTAAAAAGATGAACCTTGTGCCAAATCTTTGGTATCCTTGGATACCAGTAGGATCTTTCTTCTGCTGGTATGTTTATTTTTAATTTTTTACTTTTCTTTTCTTTTTTTTTACAGTAAAATTCTACTTTTGCCAGAAAAAGAAATGAAGTGAGCACAGTGACTATTTTAAGCCAGTGAGTGTGTTGTAGAGAATGTGCCACAGTCTACACAAATTGTTGGAAATAAAAGTGGGGTGGAAAAGGAGATTTGGAGGAATCATGGATTCTGTCTGAAAAAAGTGCCTTGATTTCTCCTCTGAGGACTGCCCATTATGGCATTGCTCAGTTCTGGCAGGCAGCTGGGTAAAAGCAGTGACCTGTTACTGCTGATTCCTCAGCAGCACCTAAACAATGCACATCTGTGCTGTTTTATTGCAAAAATGACAATGAAGGCATTCATTCTCATGTGAAGAATTTACAATTCCAAAGAAAAACTATCTAATTTAATAATCTAATCTGATCTGCTTTTGTAGAAGGAGCACAGAGTAGGTCAGTGTCCATTCTTTGGAAGGAGCTGAAATTTATAGTTTTGTGTAAAAAGAAACTCAAATTTCCTGCAGACTCTTTCTCAAACCCACAGTTAAGGATGCTGTCTCCTCTGAGATTATGCACACCAATATTGGAGGTTAAAAAATAGAGGGTGATTGCAAAAATAAAAAAATTGATGAATAAACAATCCCAAATTCTCTGTCTGAAAAGAACCCACATGGATGTGGTGGTGGAGGAAAATGTGGCAGTCCACCTCTGAAACATCCTATATTTTGATTTTTGCAGCTGCTAGCAAACCACCTTTCCTATTCCTCTCCTGATAACAAAAATTGCAGAAGTGCTGGGTGGAGGAGATGTTTCAGGAGAAAGATTACAGAAGATCAGTCATGTCTGCAGGCTGCTCCTCTCATCCACCTTTACCCTGTGCTAAAAGCAGGGAGAAGTCACTGCAAACAGGATGGCTGTTGGGAGGAAACACAGCCTAAAAGGACTCTTCACCCACTGGGATCCTTGTGAAAGCTTTTATGCCTTGCAAAGAATGAATCCTTACACTGTGAGCCAGAAAAATGCAAGATTCTGAGTGGCAGTTTGACAGCAGGAAGCACTGACACTTTTGGTAGACAGGAACTGTATGGGACAATATATTTTTGGGGGTAGGAGGATCTTTTCTAGGTGAAATATTTGGGACAAAGACATTCCTGATTCCCCTGAAGCAGGCCTGATGCTGGATTGCCTGAAGCCCAGGATGGAGTCTGAGATGAAGAGAAGCAAGTCTCTCTCACTGGCTAATCACAATCAATATTTTAAAACCAATATTTCATTGGTTTTAGATGAGAGACTGTGGAACAGCTTTCCAGAGAAATGAATTGTTTTTCTCACTTCAGCACTGCTTGCAGTGCTCATAAAGAATTCTGAAAATTAAGTCTCAAGTGTCAAATTCATGAAGGCAAAGATAAGTTTGGAAAATGTTGTTGCAGTTGTGACAATGGTTTACTTTGGGTTTTTATGTTATTTTTTTTTTTATGGTTTACTTTGGGTTTTTATGCAGGGCCTGATTTTTTTCCCCTAGTCAAATTAGCAGGAGAAGTTAGTTTAAAAAGTGATAGTTTTCTCCTAAAATTGCTCTTTATGTATCAAGTCATAGTAAGGAAAGGACAACTTATATATACTGGTTTGTCTTGAAAAAGCTGCTCATCTTTACATCTGCATTGAAAGAGCTGCCTGCTATGTGCAGCCCAAGCTCAGTTTCCTCTGACTTTATTGGAAAACGTTTCTTAAAGACTAAATGAGAATGAGCATAGCTCTACAACACCAAAGTGTAAAACATTTTAACTGTTTCTTGGCATCATTTGCAAGGGGATTCCACACTGTTTTTCTTCTTTTTTTCAGTGAAAGAAATCTGAAGCAATCAGATTTCAACCAAGATCTCTTGACTGACAGTTCACAGATTTATTGTTTTCTTTGGTGGCTTTATCCAGTTGTAAACACACAAATCAGGGAATGTCTGAGGGAAGCAGAAATGAGAATACAGAAATAATTCTGCCCAGGAAGAACTTTTCCATGAGAAACATCCTGTGCCAGAGCAAGGAGCTCCAGGATGGAGTTTCTTGAGGGATGTGTAGGTTGGTAGAATTAAGGAGCTCAATTTTAATCACAGAAACTGGACTTGACACCCTGACTGTTCTGTAAATCCCTGGCTTTGCAGGAAATCAGCTTTATACTGTAGCTGAAAATCAATGAGTCTTTCTAGAATTAATCATTGTTTCTACTTTATTAACAATGTATTTAAAATTAAAAATAACAGACTAATATTTTTAAAGCAGTATTACTTCTCATTCTCTACAAGTTAAAACATTGCATAAATAATTTTCTGGAAAAAAATAAATACGTAATTCACTCTCTGAAATGATACCTTTTCTCTCTAGGTTCTGGTCCCACATAAAATTACTGAAAAATCTATCAACATTTCAAATTTCCACAGTTTATATTATTCCAGCATCAATTCTACAGGATGTATACAGTATGTGACAATTCACTTTCTAACAATATCCTTTAATGTAAAAACACAACCATTAGTCTGAGTGTTGAGAAGCTAAGTAAAGGAAAGTTGCTGCCAAACTAAAGACTTATCAAAGCTGCACGTCCTAAAGACTTTTCTAGAGGAATCCATGACTTAGCAGAGGCTCACTTTAAATGCAGAACCACCACCTTACTCCCAGAGCTTGGTTTGCACAGTTTTAGTGCTACAGAGTGTGTGGCCAGATACTCCAAACTCTACAGAACAGAAAATGTAAATGGATGTATCTAAGCTGATATTAAAGTCAAACATGTTCTACAAATAAGGAATAATCAGTATATTCTAGTATTCTGTGTTAAATAATGCTAGCTGTTTACAGGGCAAACATCAGTGAGGTTATCTGGTTTGAGAGGAGCATCTTCTTCATAAATCTGCTCCACTTAGGAGAATTTGTTGAATTGTCCCTAAAACAAATCATTGTTCCAAAATCAATATGATTTTAGTTGCCAAATCTCAGTTTTGAATTTGTCGACCCCATAATCTTTTAAATGGATTTGTCGCACTTTTACTTTGAGAACACTAGTGTCACATTTTGATTTGAGAGGAACCACTGGTGCATGAGGACATCTGATAACGTGTTCATTTCCCAACAATTTGACTTCATCCACCAGAACCTGAAATCCCTGCTGCCCCAAACTTTCTAGGGCTCCCTCAGAGACTCTCCTGGTGCTTCCCTGAATGCAGCCTTGTCCTGCATCCTTGTCTGGGGAAGGGATCTCAGGATTCTTTTCCCATAAATGAGTGGAATAAAGCAAAGTGTGATTGTCCCCACAACAGCTTCACTTTGCCTCCCTGCTCGCCCAGGACACACAAACTGTCACGGACCTCCAAGGGGTGCCTGTCACCCCGATTTTTTAACATTTTCTAAGCCTTCTGATGTTTACATTCTTGTAATGAACTTTCTCACACACTTTCTGTAAATAACTCATTGCTTTGCATTCTTTTATGGAGGAGGAGAAATTTGATGGACTGTTGGTTTGTCCAGTGTCATTGGAGAGGTGGCACTGTCACCCTCCAATCCACTGTCACTTTTGGAAATCTATAAATGCTGGAATCAGAAATTAAAAATTCTCTTTTTGCCTTGAGAGAGCCGCGTGTCCCTGTCGTGTCATTCCGTGTCCTGTAGTGACAGGTGCCTCCAGCTGCCTTTACCTCATTCTCTTACCACACCACAAGTGCTAAATCTGACCGATTTTTTGCCTATGTGAGCCTTTGACCCAGCTTAGCAGAAGGAATTGGAACCTACTGCAGTCAGAACATCACGCTGTGACCTCTGAGTGCCTTTTGATGGTTTAACAAACATCCGGAGCGCCAGTTCGTCCCACCCAGAGCCACCTCCTTCCTAATAAGCGTTTTCCAGCTCGTGCTGGTTGGATTTCCCGCTCCTGGCTCTGGCCAGATGCGGCTTCTTGTTCTTCTGGGGCCGGGCGCTGTCCTTGCCGAAGTCCTTGAGCTCGGACTGGTTGTGGTAGCGAGTGTAGCGCTTGCACTTGCAGGACGTGGCCGCTCGGAATTTGTAAGTCCGCGTTTCCTGCTGGGGACAGGCCATGAGGACGCGCTGGGTGCGGCTGTGCGCGGGGATGCAGCGGAAATCCAGCGCGTTCTGCCGCCACCACTTGCCGCGGCCGATGGAGTTGGGCAGGAGGTGCGAGGGCTCGCACTGGCCCGAGCACAGCAGCTCCTTCACCGGCTTCAGGCTGCGGCACGGCCCGTCCGTCAGGAACCGCGTGGTGCGAACCTCCCGGCAGCTGAAGGCGGCATCTGCGAACAGGGAGCGCGTTAGTGCTGCTCGTCCCTTCTGCAATCCTTCATTCCTGCCCTTCCCTCAGTGCTGCTCGTCCCTTCCTGCAATCCTTCATTCCTGCTCTTCCCTTAGTGCTGCTCTTCCCTTCCTGTAATCCTTCATTCCTGTAATCCTTCATTTTTTGCTCTTCCCTTCAATCCTGCACTTTGATTCCTGCTCTTCCCTTCAGTGCTGCTCTTCATTCCTGTAATCCTTCATTTCTGCTCTTCCTTTCAGTCCTACTCTTCCCTTAAATCTTGCTCTTCCCTTAAATCCTGTTCTTCCCTTCAGTCGTGCTCTTCCCTTCAATCCTAATCTTTCATTCTCGTAATCCTTCATTTCTGCTCTTCCCTTCAGTCCTACTCTTCCCTTAAATCCTGTTCTTTCCTTCATTCCTGCTCTTCCCTTCATTCCTACTCTTCCCTTCAATCCTGCTCTTCCCTTCAATCCTGCTCTTTCCCTGCCAGCTTTGAGGAAGCAGCCAAACCCTAACCCTTACCCTAACCCCCCATACCCTGTCTGCCTGAGCTGCCAGTGGGAAGGAGCAACAATTTTGGGGAATAAAGGTCTTTTTAAGGGTTTATTTTACTTCTCATTATCCTCCTCTGTTTCTGTTAATAAAGTCACTTTGTGCCTCTAAGCCAAGCCTGTTTTGCCGTTGGAGTGTTTTTCTCCTGGTCCTTATCTCAAACCTCCAAACCTCCAGTTTCTCTCACTCTCCTATCAAGTGCTATAATCTGACAGATTTTTTTGTTCATTTTTCTCTCCTCTGCCCAGCTGTGGCAGGGGAGGGTGGGTGAGTGGCTTTTGTGGGTGCCTGGTGTTGGGCCAGTGTCAAACCACAACAGCTCCTGCAGCAGATCTCTCTGAGCTAGACAAGCTGAATGTCTTGAACAGCAGATTTTGCAGGAGAAATACCTCAAAAGGCTCACTCATGCAGCTCCTGACTATTCAGCTACTCCAGCTGTAAAACCCTTGAATAACAATATAAAAATTGGTGAATAAAATCCACCTGGTACATTTCATGTCAGTGCTGTGCAGGGGGAAATGGAGCAGCTGGGAATTTTTGGCAATATTCTCCTGGCTCCATTTACCTCCACTGCTCTAGTTTAACTCTATTGACTTTAGATGTTGACTCCAGATTTAAATTCTTTTGTGGAAAAAAAAAAAAAGTGTTCCTTAGGTGATTTTTAGCTTGCATTATGTGTTCCAGGTTAGAGAAATCACAGGTAACAGCAGCACTAAGGGATTCCCACTTTTCAGGCAGCAGCTTTTCCAAATTTCCTACTCTGTGGGAATTCCACATGCCCCACAAAGCTCCCCTGAGAGAGCTAGAGGCATCTTCTGGCTATTAGGAACCTTACAGATGTTTTCCTCTCCTTTTTCTCAATGGATAACTACAGGCAAATGAAGCATTAGAAAATACAAGATTTCTTAGCATTAAGTATTTAGAATCTTTCCAGTCGTAGGAACATAACTTTCCCAAAAGTGGCTCTTTTCCCTTGATTAATTGACTTGTTGGGAAGACACAAAATTTGATTTTTAAGTGTTTATCAAATAACTTCATCAGAAGTTATTAATTTACATTAGTTATTCATCTACATTAATGTTCTCTTAGTCAAAAGGACAGATTGAACTCAGGAAGTTTGTGGTGGAACCTTCAAAGGTCAGCTCAGAGAAGGCTGAGGTCCATTCTCCTCACTGTGTGCAAGGTTTAGTTCAGCAAAAAGGAATTCTGACCCTGAATCATTAGTGACACAACAGTATCTGTACAGACATTTTAATTTTTGGTTTTCCTGTGAAGTACAGAAACAGGATTTTCAGTGCTCAGATTTATATTTGTCAAAGTACAAGCTAGCAAGATTTCATTTTTTAAAATTTTGATGGACTGCATTACTGGAATTAAGCAATCCTTGCCAGCTGTGACAAAAATACTGGCAACTGAACTCCACATGCACTTCAGTCTAACACTCCCAAGTTTCCCAAGCAGCTAAGAAAATTCTGTCTGTAAATTAAAAAATGTGTTGATTAAGGTGCATTGTATGCACAGGCAGTTAAACATCCAGGCCCTTGCCTCAGCTCTGTGATATTATCTGCATTTTTGTCCTGTCCTGTGAGTGTGCAGGTGCAAAATCTCTCATGGTCTGGTACAAGTGTTCCAGAAAGGTCTGACCACTTTGTATCATAATTTTGATTCTTTATGTTAAAAATGCCAAAATAAGTGTACAAGACCATTGTGTTTCTTAAACAACTGCCCACTCTCCTTCAGTCTTTGATTTCTTAACTTCCTGTGCTTTCCACTTTGAAAAATATGCACAAATCAGTGGGGCAGTTCCCAGCTGATGGCAGAGTAATAAGAGGCTAAAAAATGAAAGTATTGAGAAAAAAATCCAACCTGCTCTGACCTGGAGGTTGGTGGGGCTGCCTGGGAGGAACTGAGTGCTCCCCCTCTTAGGAATATGAGAAACTTTTAAGGTCACGCTCTCAAAAGCATTACTTTTTAAAAATTTCTTTTAAAATATTGTTAACCCTTTGGTTTTAAATGCCTTAAAGACAGCTGCAGCAGAAATTCACAATTGCCTTCCAGCTGTCCCCAGAAAAAGGAGGCTGGCCAAGATCTGCAGTGCACAAAGTGGAAATTCTAAGTTTGATCTGTGCTTTGTTCTGTGTGTCTGGAGGACCAAGCTTGCCCTATTTTCCAGTGGAAAACGTTTTAAAGCTACTTTTCTCTGTTTGGGGCTAGCTCGCCATCTTCTGTCTCTCCTCAAAAGGCTGGTGTCTTGCATCACTGCTAAAGTTAGAGACTTGGTCAAGTGACAATCGATCTTGAGGATCTTGAAGCTGCTGGAACCTGGCTGAAGATCTGTCAGTGAGCAGCACACCCCTCTCATTTAGCTGAACACAACCTCAATGTGCCACTTTTGGTGGGTGATCTTAGTCACAGCTGGTGGATGTTCCCAAATATTACAAATTTATATTATTGTCTCCACTGTCAACCCATTCCCCCATCCTAATATTAAAGAGGGAAAGAGAACTTGTGATATTTCCTCACAAAACACAGAGATGTGTTAAGCAAAATCTGCTACAGGTTTTATGTATTGGAGTTGTCTGCAGAATAGAAATATTCAACAGAGAGCTCATATTTGCATCAGTAAACTCCAATAAATTCTTTCTAATGTTTATATCCATATTTCTTCAACAGTAGATGTAAATCCCTATCACTCAAAGCAGCTGGGCCACACCTAAATTGTTAATAAACAAACATAGATGATGCCAATATTCTTTTGCAAATTGTCTGCTAAGAACCAAACAGCAATGATATTTTTCTTACCGCTGAGGTCTGGAGTTTGCTGTATGTGTCTTCCTCCGTGTTTTGCCTGATTCATGGTGTTGTTGTTGCTGAAAGTCGGCTCCATTGGTGTTTCTGGATTTTCAGTGATCTCAGGAATGATTTCTGTAGCATCATTTTTAAACATCTGCCAGCCTTGCACAGAGTGAAGTGTGATTTGTGTCAGGACACAGACAGCACACACAGCCCAAGGGATCTGCATGGTCACAGATCAGCTTTTCAGCACCCTGACAGCCTCAGATCCTAGGCAAAGGCACATAATTCCCCTTTTTAAAATCCCTTTTAGAACCAAGCCAGCCAATGACTATACAAAGTGGGAAGGGCCAGACAACTCATTCATCTCAGCTTTTGTCAGTGTGAAATAAAATGGGTGTGTGGGGGTGGGTTAGTGACAATATTTTACAACTGTTATGCAAAAACTTCTCTTATCTACCTCATTTCTGAGCCTGGCAACAAAAGGTGACAGACAAGACTACAATGAATTGCAACCTGACAAGATTTTCTGCACTTTTTCTCTAACAATGATGCAATTAAAACCTGCTTCTGCCTCCATCCATATTTGAAATTTTGGCTATTGTCTTTTCCAAAGGTTTTTCTGAATTTTACATTTTGCTGTTGTTATTCCTCTGCCCATTGCTCGCTGTATAAAGTGAGGAAATCTAGAAACTGTAGCTCAGTAATTCTGATTTCAGTCTGTGGTGGAAATTATTAGGGGTAGGGTAGATTTTTTTTTTTTCCCCTTTCCAAAACAAGGAGCTCTACATTCTGTTTCACAGATACACTGGAAGAAAAGGGAAGAGCTTCATTTCAATATGAGAAGTTGTGATGTTTACTTTTCCTTAAAAATAGTTTGCTTGGAATTTTTTTTTAGCTTAAACAGCCAGAATGTTGTACATCATAATTTTTGATGTGCTCTTTCTCACATTTTTAACTCTTGGGAAAAAACCACCTAACACATGTTGGCATTTGCTTTATATTCATTGCACACTACCACTTGTGTGAAATGTTGAATACAGGACATTTGCTTGTTTTAAACACAAGAACTTGGCCAGACTGATTTCCAGCCAGGATATAACCAACAAAAAGAGAAAAACCATGACTTTAGGTCTAGGGCATTTATGCCTAAGATGCATTCATGTATCATGTTTCAAAATCTAAAATGAGGTATTCTTCCTTGCAAAAACAAGATGATAGTGATGAAAATATGATAATTTCAGTGTCTCAAGGCCACATATACTTTCAAATGATTTGCTAAATACATTAATCAGAAAGCCTTCAGGAAGGGTAAGATACCACACTGAGCTTGTCACAGCTCCTGAAAACAAAATGTTTGCTTGAAGCAGTACAGGGACACGTGTGTGCTCCTGCCATGCTTGTCAGGAAGCAGGAAAGGAAATTATGTCTGTAAATAAAAAAAAATATGTTGAATAAGGTGTATTGTACTTCCACAATGCACAGGCAGGTAAATACCCAGGCACTTGCCTCAGCTCTGTAGGTGACATTATCTGGCTGCATTTATGTCCTATGTGCATTTATTTGCCTGAGACTTCCTCATGAAAATATTTCCTGCAGAAGAGATTCCAAACTGACTCAGTCTGACTTTCCCCTGTGACTGCAAGACTCAGAATGGTTTGCACTCCATTTTCTGCCAATTCCCCTGGTGGGGTACAGCAGAGAGGTGTCACAAAAGCAAAGTGCAGGCGTGCTGTCCCTTGGTGTGTCCTGGGTGATGAGCAGCAGCAGGGACAAGGGCACATTTCAGCCCTTCATCCCCACACAAACCCCCAGCAGCTGCAGCAGGGCGCTGAGGCTGAGCTTCAGCACTCCTGCCATGCTCCTGTCCTGAATCACTGGCATCTGAAATATATTGGAAGGTGCTTTCCTTCCTAGATTTTTGCTCAGCCAAAAATGAGAAATCAGCATTTTCAGAAGTGCTCTCCTTTCCAAACACTCCAAGGAATGTCTAAAAGAAATCATGCATTAGTTTCACACTGCAGTGTCAGTTCCCCTTCCTCCTTTCCTCCAGCCCTCACCTTAGGCATCCAACCACCCAAAACAAAACCAGAACACCATCTCAGAAATTACTCTGTTTTTATGGAGGAAAACAAAACACTATTTTATTTCCACAAGATTTTTTTCTCCTCAGCCAGTCAGGAAATATTCTTAACACATTCTTTAATACAGACTGTTGTCAAATAATTTGCCCCCAATATGCTGATTATTTTTTTCTCTATCATCATTATCATCATTGTCATTGGCAATTATTATCTTTAATTAACTTCTTCCTTTTGTCAAAGCAGTTAATGATGGTCTCACTACAGGAAACCAAACTCCCAACTACTGCAAATGTTCTTCTAAGCATAATTTTGCTTACTTACATGTAGTAAATCTATTTTTGTCTTAGAGCTAAACTGAACAAATTGTGAAGGACTCGAAGTCCTGAAGGAGCAGGAACTAAACAAGGATTTTGGTATTATTTTTGTCAGACAGGAATAGCTCCATGTGTAGGTACTCTGCAAGAGAGCCTTGTCCAAAGTGACATCAGAGCTGGTGGCAGCAGGGAGTAGAGCAGAAAAGCAGAACAGAGCATTGGGATTATGGGTGTGTAGCTGGTTAGAAGTGTGTAATATCACAGGGTGGAAAACTTAGAGTTTGGGGTTTTAGAATATAGAAATAAATATGAAGAAAGATGGAGGTTTTAGGGTGGAGGCAGGTTGTTCTTCTTTACCTTCTTATTAATGGGTCTGGGTGGTATTTTGTAATTGGACAGAAAAGTCCACATTGCAGGCTTTGAGGGATCAGTTACTGGCTTAAAAGGGAAAATAATCCAGGTGTAATTTCTTAATTGGACAGTTTAGTCTCAAAAGACCTTGTAACAAGAGACAGTTGGCCATTTTGTGCCTTGCTAATGAAGGGCTGCAGAGCTCAAGGCTGTGAGGCTGTTTCATTGATAAGAAACAATAAACACCTGAGTCCCAGCATGAACTGCCATCTCAAGTGCCTTCAAAGCAGACCCAGAGAAACCAATAACCCCCAGCAGAAAAGGCCTCAGCTCTGTGTCTGCCCTGCTCAGCAGTAACAAAATCATCTCTGTAAGGTCCTGACTGTGCTCAGCACAAACCCAAAACACAGCCCCAGGCAGACACTGGGATAAAGTGAACCCCACTGAGCCCAAAGCAGTGCTGTGTTCAGGGGAGGAATCAGAGCCATCAGGAGTTCACTGTTATCTCCTACTCAGCCTGAATGCACTGCTGCTGCTTTCTGAACTCCAGCACCTTTCCTGAAACACTGGCATCCAACACTGCAGTGCAGGCAGGCACAGCTAAAGCAGCTCCTGAAATTGCTTCAGTCACTCCCAGCTTCAGGTGCTCACCTGGGCCAGGGGGTTCTGCTCAGCATCCCAGCCCAAAGCTGTACAGGTGCAGCTCCAGCTTCTCTGGACAACGGCTCAAACCTCACACACTGCCCAAGAACTCTGGTTTTGACATGATCAAAATTCTGAGTTTTGACATGATCAGAATTCTGTTTTGACATGAACTTTGCTTCTCAAACAGTTGTTTGGTTTTCTGTTTTTCCCAATCAACTTTCAGCTGCCTCAGAATTCTGCAATGTCACAGAGTGAACACAACAGTCTGAATGTTGTGGTGTCATCTCCTGCAAGAAGCCAAAATAAATGGATTCTTATTCTCCACCAGAGACTGCCAAGTCATTCTGGTGGCCTTTTTCAGAATTCACAGGATTCACACGGCAGCAGAATTCAGGGATTCAGGGATGGCTCTCCCGGGAAGAAGAACAAGCCTACAGCTCCATCTGGTGAGTCAGCCAGCCAGCAACATCAGCACACAGGAGCTACAATTAAAACACACAACCAACACTTCGTTATTTCCAGGATTTATTTGCAGAAGAAATTAACAGGACACTAATTCTCACCAGCAAATCCTTAAAAGACACCTCTCAGGCTTGTTCTATTTCTAGTTTTACTCTTTGGTGAAGCCCAGAAAGTAATTTTAGGAGAAACTTCTGTGCTAAACTAAGACAGATTTCACTAGATAGTCTCTCTGTGCTAAAAACATCATAGTAAACTAGCAGAACTAATATAAAAATAAAATGAGATAAAAAGTTCTGCTCCTGCTTCTGGCATCAGATTTCATTAGTTCTGGACAACAGAAGGCAGCTCAAGGAAAGTCTCTAAATTATGAAAATAAACATTGCTAATATTCTTTCTGCCGTTCTTTGCCGAGGAGGAGGAAGATGTACTTGACACAAATTTGTTTTTCAGCTCAGAACCATGCACTGTTATTATACACAGTGCCTTTCATCTCCAAGGCCTTTTATGAAGATGAGTTCTCACATCACCAACCAAAATTACTGTAGAAGAAAAGGGTGTTCAATTTTAATACAGCCTTGGCACCCAAAAATGGAATTACAACACAATCTTTTGTGGCTGCTAGTTCTGCATTGAGATGCCATCAATTCTGAAATAACTTCAGGGAATGTTCCCTTTGCAGCAGGGCACCATTCCCTTTGGAGTGCTCCTGGCAGTACCTGAGGTGCAGAGCTGCATGCCAGGCACAACACCAATCCACACTGCAGCCTCACTGCAGGGCCAAAGCACGAAGGAGGAGCTACAAAAATGTTATTTTTGCTTTCAATCTCAATTTTCAGTTACAGACTTCTTTCCTGTACTTATTCATCAGCTAAGAAAGATTCAAGGTGAATTTAGTTTTATATTGATCATAATTTTGTCCATCTGGACTTTCATCTTTGTTCCTTGCTGTAAAATGTAGCTTCTCACCTTCTCTCTTTGCTCTCTCTCTAACTTCACTAACTCTTAAGTACAAAACACCCTAAGCTGTTGCATTTTCCTTCTTTGGGCTAGACTTGGCATGGCAGAGATCTTTGTTCCATGAGAAATACATATTTTATAGAGACCCCATCCCTTCTCCACAGCACTGCACACAAAAATCACCACACTGCTATTCAGGATAAACACATTAATGCCAATCCTGATTACACTGTTTTAGCCATGGCCAGCAAGTATAAACTCCAAAAGCAGAGTGTTGCTGTTTGCAATCAACAGCTCTTTTCAAATGTACCTTCCAAATTATCATTCTTGTAAGGAAGATCTCGCAGCAAATGGCAGGAGCTCAGCAATTTCAGAGGAATAAAAAGCTCTTATTTTTTCCAATACATTTTCAATTTCATATTACAAGGAAAGGAAGCTCTCATTCCCATGTTTTAGGTAATCTTTCCTTCTACAATCAGGAAGAGAAATTTAGAAGTATGCAGCAGATCACTGTGGGTTACAGACATACAAGACCTTCCTGGCCAGCTAAAATGGGCAGAGGAATTTGCAACACGACTGTACTTGGAGAGCAAGGCTGAGAGGAAGGGAATGATCCATTAATGGAGCAGTGGTCTGACATTTTAACTATTTTTAGCCTGCTCTAAAAGCAGAAATGGTTTCATTGCTGAGCTGCCTATCCATAATTTTAAATTTGATACACTGTCTCCCTTTTAAAACCAATTTATAACATTGTCTTACTTATGCCTCTCTATCCTCATATGACAAAGCATTTGCTAAATCAGTTTTGTTGTACTGAGACAAATGGGTCAGAGTTATCTTAAAAGTAAAGTAAAAAAGTAAATGAAGTAAAAGATTATTTTGAATATAAGAACACATTCCCCTGTTTTGATTTTCAGTATTTCTTGATACTGACAACTACAGAAACATCACCATAAGGTAAACAGGCTCAATTTTAATGAACCATTCTGGTTTATTAAAGATCAACCAAGGTGTAATGCCTAATGTTTTCTCAGCTCTTTAATGGACTGGAATTTTGACTTCCAAGTAACAGGTGAAAGATAAAGTGCATCCAATGTGAATTTCCCTTTTTCTTCCTTTTAGTGCAAATACGTGTTAAGAACACATAATGTGAGACAACAAAAAAAAAAATCTATGTTTATAGTAATAATTTTTAAAGGGTAATTTATAAATTAGACTGCAGTATGAAAACTCAGCACTGTAGAAAAGGCCAGTATTCCTATTTCTAAAGTCACTACTCCTATTTCACACAACATGGAATTAGTAACTAGGAATTTTGAAGAATCAATTAATCTACTCCTGATTAAATGGATCAATGGCAGAAAACAAATAGGTGTGTAATTAACTAGTGGAATTGACTGCTGCTCATTATTACTGAACCACCCTGGTTCAAAGCAAGCACTGGCTGGAGATGTGACAGGGAACACCGTGCAGAGTGCTCCTGCACTGTCACTTGAAGGACGCAACAGTGGAGTTTTGAAGAATCAAATCCTGATTAAATGGATCAATGGGAGAAAACAAACAGCTGCTCATTATTACTGAACCACCCTGGTTCAAAGCAAGCACTGGCTGGAGATGTGACAGGGAACACCGTGCAGAGTGCTCCTGCACTGTCACTTGAAGGACGCAACAGAAAAGGCTCCTTGATGTGGCAGCTCCATCCTGTGGAAGGAAAACCAGGAAGACTGGAGCTCCAGCAGAATAATCTTCTCTGGAATTTAACTTCAAGAACTTTATCTTTCTGCACAGAGGCTCCACTGCCACTCCCACACCTCAAACCACACAAGCCCAAAACCAGCAGTGAACAATGCATGCATGGCCTTGGTGATTCCTGACTGCTGAACTGAGGAGACAAAACTACACCTGGGATCACATGTGCTACTAATGAAGTGTTGCTGTTTGAAGCACTGCCAAGATTTTTCATTCTAGAACTACATTAAAGCACAGGTGAGAATGGAACAGTCACCCTGGTTTCTGATGGTTTAACCAACAATTCCAGTTTGCAGTGGGAGATCATTTGCATGAATACAGTGCTGAAAACCACAGGTACACATTTACACACTAAGTCAGGCACAGTGCAAACAAAGCTCCCTCTCCCAACGCTCATCTCATCTGTAGTAAACAGAAACAAGTCATCATTTATTTGAATAGAATGTAAATATTTCCTATACAGTGTGTTACATTACAATGCTCATTTTTATTTCATGATACCATGCAAGTAATCCAAGAAGCCAAGAGTGTTCTTCTGCAAACTGCTTTGTAAGCTGGAAGGAATCTGCATGTGTGGTCATTCCATTCTGTTACTGAACAGTGACAGTAAAGAAGAGATAAAGACACTGTAATTCCATACAAGCTTTGAAAGGCATTATATTAGGATACTTAAATTATACATCCACCACAAGCACTTCTAAATACTAATATTATTTCTTCCTTGTTCGAGCTCTTCCCTCAGCATTTGCTCTTGACATTTTTTCCCGGTATTATTTCAAAATAAAAATAAAAGAGCATTTAATAACAGACTATTTAATGTCCACTGTAACAGAAGAGATAAAAAACTATTCTTGGAAACACAGTGTGCATCAAGCATGGGCTCAACATGGCTTTACTCTCACACTGTGTATTGCATAAATCCACACAAAACACTGCATGCACTTTATTTTCCAAGTGAATGCATCTGTGCATTTGTACATATGCTTCCCATTCCTTGAAGCTCCTACATTCAAACTTTAGGCACCTGTGTGCATGAAAAAGAAGCTTTAGAAATTACAGTGCTCCTATTAAGAGTGAGTGAAGGGATGTGTTTGGGCTTTTGGGAGCTGGTGCTCTGGTATAGTATAGGGATAAAATGTTTCTAAAATCAGGGGATATTCAGGGGAGTTGGAAAGAAAGGTTGGGCCTGGAAGGCCCTGGGAAAGTGTTAGGCTTTATTGGATCATGCAAAACTGCACCTGTATAATCATTAAATGACTTTGGTAAATTATATGATTGTTATATGATAAATGATATGATTGTTAAATGTGATGATTGTTTGGTAATTGGATATAATTATTGTTTAATCGTAACAAGAATCATAAGAAATTATGTTTGGGGGGGTTTGATGGAAATTACAAAAATCCATGCTTGGATGAAATCAATGTATTGGATTTCTGGATTGGGAGTGGCACTGGGGACAGTGGGGACACTGGCAGTGGCACTGGGGACATTGGGACAGTCCCAGTCCAGTGTCCCCCTCCACCAGCTCCAGTTTGCACTGGGAACAGGGAACTGGGGACACTGGGGACATTGGGAGTGGCACTGGGGACACTGGAAGTGGCACTGGGACAGTCCCAGTGCAGTGTCCCCAAGGGCTCGTCAAACTACAAAAATCCATGCTCGGATGAAATCAATGTATGCAATAGAACAATATAAGTTTAATAATGAATAGGCAGTTATATAACAATAAGGGTAGAAAAACGTGTTCATCCTGAACCCATGCCGGAGTCAGATTTGGGTCTGGACCCCTGACACCCAAAGCTCTTCAATGAAAGCACCTACATACAATCATTCTGTGATTATGTGTTCCTGCACACTGCTAACGTGGTGAGACTAAAGACAAAGCTTAAACAAATCACATTCAATGTCAACGCAAACCACGTATGCTATGGAGTCTGCAGGGGCTCTGAAATGCGTGTGGAGACAGCTGGAGTCATCCTTCTAAAACATCCCTTCATGGCAACAGCTCCAAACAGCGACACAGTTCTGTCCCATCTCGAAGCATCGCAGAGTTCCAGACGGACGCTTCCACTAGACAAGCAGGAATTCCAGCCCGGTGCTTGCAATCTGCGTCTCTAAAGCGCCTAACCCATCCTCTAAAGCTCTGCCCCAGTGCAAACAAACCCACGGCGGCGCCGCGCTCTAGGCTTTGACCTTGCCCTCCTTCAGCAGGCGCTCGTTGAGCTGGCACAGCTGCCGGAGGAAGCCGTCGTTGGGGCCGATCTCGCGCTGCTGGCGCACGGCGCAGAGCGCGCCGCGCACGTCCATGCCGCGCCGCAGCATCAGGTAGGCGATGACCAGCGTGGGCGAGCGGCTGTAGCCCTCCCGGCAGTGCACCAGCACCTGGCCTGCAGGGAGACAGTCACAGCTCAGGGTCATGCTGCAATGGGGGGCTGCAAAGCAACAGCAAATAATAGGGTTTTATTGCTGCTTGCACCGTGGATGCGGCTGGCGGGATTTTGAAGGGGTGTGCTGCTTCAAGTGTTCTTCGCGCTCGTGTGAAAAATGCGTATTAGATGGTTGGGTTTTTATTGTAAATCAGGCCACCCCAGCTCTGGGAATGACTGGCATCTGATTCCAAGGCTTTGGAATGCTGAATGCTTGCTTTATTAAAACTATATTACATTATATACACTACATCTATACTACAAAGAATACTAAAGAAAACTCGTGACTGACTCCCAACAGTCAGGACACAGCTTGGACCTGACAGGCTAATTAACATAAACAATTACTGTATTTGCAGGGAATGCCCCAACGAAGGCAGGAATGATGAATCTGACTCCATGTTCTCAGCAGGCTATTTTATTATTTTATGATACCATATTATATTAAAAAATACTATACTATACTAAAGAATACAGAAAGGATACTTACTGAATGCTAAAAAGATAATAATGAAAACTCGTGATCTTTCCAGAGTCTCGACACAGCTTGACCCTGACTGGCCAAGGAGCCAAAACAACTCACAGCAGAATCCAATGAAACAACCACCTGGGGGTAAACAGTCTCCAAACACATTCCAAAGGAGCACAACACAGGAGAAAAATCCTGGGCAAAGGGATTTTTTCAGAGATTGTGAATGCCACAAACAATTAGGGAAACATGGGTTTCATCTTTTGTTCAAGGAATTTTTTTTGATTGTAATCTTTTTTTTTATCATTTTACTCATGTTCCCATGTTTAGTTAAATGTCTGCAGAAGTCCATTGGGGAAGTCTTCATAGTAAGAAAAAACAGGGGAGTTGTGGAATCCTCAGAATCCTTCCCCCTCAGGGAAATCCCCAGAGCATTGCCTTAGAGACTTTTTGACCATGGAGTTTCTCCCCACCTGGACGGACAAAAAAACTTCCCAATGGAGTCTTCCTTAACACTGATCCATCCCAGTTCCTTTCCCCATAAGTCCCATTCTCCCAGTTCCTCCATTCCCTGTTCCCTCATTGCTTGTGGTGGCCCTGGTGGCCAGCCCCATTCTCCCTGAAAGCCAACACCCTTTGTGCCACCTCAGAGCCCTCCCCTACTCAACCTTGTGCAGAGCACAAGGTCTTTTGTCTCTGGTTCCCCTTCAGCCTGCTGAAATAAACCTCACTGGCATTTATCATACAAAAGGCCCTTCTGCCTCTCCTGGCTGAGCTAGCCGTGGGGAGTGTGGTGTGGACTGGACTGCTTTGCCTGGATGCTCACCCAAGTGGCTTTTCCACAGGAGATGCTTGTTGGGAAATAAGATAGAGGTAGCAGTAACCACACCTAAACCCCATGCTGTTACAGGAAACAGCTAGGATATTGTGTATTGATAAGTGTATTGATAAGAGTCCTTTCACAGCTTGAGAACTGAAATGCAACAGGAGACATGCTGGAGTTGGGAGAAAGGTGTTCACACTGGTAGTTAGCTACACAGTGTGTGAACAAGGGTAATGCAAAAGGAAAAATAAATAGGCTGCATGTCAAACAATCTCACTGAAACAGATTTGCTACTATACCACAATAACCAAACTATGTCTATTCACTGCACTTCTCCAGTCTTGGTTGGGTTTGACAAGCTTTGCCCCTAAAGATGACCAGTACCAAAGAGCACAAATAAATGAAGTTTAAAATACACTGAAAACAAATATGCTGTTTGGCATGTACTGCATCTCTTCAAAGATACCCAGCCTTTCTGTGCATTGCTACACTAACTGCATGCTGCAGCACACCTGGCCACTTTGGCTGTTTATGGAGCCACATCAACACTCAAGTAGATGAAGCTGCCTGCTCTGCAGAGACAAGAGGCAGAAATATCTAACCATGCTGTTTGTCAGCACCAACGAAATGCTTCCAGCTGATTGATTAGGGAACTCTACATCTTAGGTGGGTTCAATTCAGTTTGCATGGCAACATTTTGGTGGTGGGGGGAGCACAGGGGTGGCTTCTGTGAGAGGATGCCAGAGGCTTCCCCCCATGTCCAGAGCCAGCTGGATCCAGTGATAGTGGTAGCATCTCTGGGGTAATATATTTAAGAAGGGGGGAAAAAAAACCCGTGCTGCACAACAGCAGGTGAATGAGAGGAGTGAGAACACATGAAAAAAAAAACTCTGCAGACACCCAGGTGAGTGACAACAGAAGAGGAGAAGGAATTCCAGGCACTGGAGAGAAGATCCCCTGCAGCCTGTGGGGAGGACCACGGTGACCATGCTGTCCCCCTGCAATCCATGCAGGTCCAGAGCAGAGCACACACCCCCCTGCAGCCTGTGGGGGACCCCTGCCAGTGCCAGAGCCAGGGGAAATAGCCTTGACCCCATGGGAAGGCTGCACTGGAGCAGGACATGTGGCTCCATGGATGGAGAAGCACATGCTGGAACAGGATTTCAGGCAGCATTTGTGAACCTGTGGAAGTCCTGCACTAAAGCACATTGCTCCTGGAGGACTGTGCCCCATGGAAGGAGGGATCCAGCCTGGAGCAGGTAATGCAAAGCTGCAGCCTCTGGGGAGGCCTCACATGGGAGAAGTTCTTGGATGTCTCCTGTGGGTGAGACTGGAGCAGGGGAAGAGAATGAAGAGGAAGGTGTGTGTTCATCAAAAAAGCGTGATGAACTGACTGCAGTTACCACTCCCTGTCCCCCTTGTGCTGCTTGGCATGGGGAGGCAGAGAAAACAGGGAATGAAGCTGAATGTGGAATGAAAGGAGGGTAGAGGAAAGGTCTTTTAAGGTTTGGTTTTGTTACTCATTCCCCTACTCTGATTTGATTGGCATTAAGTGAAATTAACTTCAAGTTGAGTCTCTTTTGCCTGTGATGGTAATTGCTGGGTGACCTCCCTGCCCTTACCTTGACCCATGAGACTTTTATGTTTCTCCCCTGTCCAGCTGAGGCAGGGATGTGCTGGCATGGTTTGGTGGGCACCTGGTGTCCAGCCAAGGTTAACCCACCACGTGGGCAAATCCTACAGTGAGGTATCCTAAAATAAAAGAGCAGGCCACTGCTCCCTTTGAGAGATCTAACCTGATTTTATTGTTTCTCAGCTTCTTCCTCTTTGACCTGCTTTTCCAGACACAGAAATTTTCTCCTTCCCAAATGCAGTAGGATATGTGGCCCCAGTCTACTGTCCAGAGTAAATTGTTTTCTGAGACAAGAAAACAGCTGAACCATACACACACACTCCTATCATAACCACAACTTGCTTTGAACCACACCAACAGAAATCCTGTTACCACACTTGCCTTAAACAGCAAAAGCCTCTTAGCTCAAGGCAAATCATGGTAATGATTAATTAAAACAATTAATTCTCAACGTTTCTTGAGAGCCTGTAGTCATAAATTAGCAAAATTTAGACATTCTTGATTATAGACATGGAAGATAATTGATTTTTCAGCAAGTGGTCAGCAGCAAAAGTTTCTAGCCTTTTTCTGTGGAAGGCAGTGGCTGAAGAGCTGCCTTCCAGACCTGCAGGACACCAGACCTGCCTTCCAGAACTTCAGGCACTGCACACTGGAATGAAATTGAAGGAGAACACTATTATATTCCTCTTCTCTTCACTATCCTCACTCTACACTTCAATGTCAAACAAAACTAGCAATTTGCAGTAGCCAGTTAATCTTAAAACTGACTCCAACATCACCCAGCTCCAAGGTTCCCCTTTGTTTACCACGTTAAAAAAACAGTGGTGGGTGTGGTAAACAACTGCTAAGACTGAAAGAATCAGCAAATGAACTGCTGCAAATCCAGACTGACTGAATTTACTGACCCTGAGACTATTAAACTGAGCAGGTACAGTCATGGCACAGCAAACCCTTCTCTCCTCTCTGTTCCAGTGAGTCACAGTGCTAACTGCAAGAGTTGCATTTAATTTTCAGAATTTTTCATACTCCACCACACTGGATGTAGAATTTATTTCCATCTGTCAAAACCCACATCACAGCTCCAGAACACCTTTGCCCATTTCAGAGAAAGAACTTCTAGAATTGTGGGAGTTCTCATTCCTCCTATTCAATGCTCAGTCACGAAGCAAGAAGGAAATTAAGCATGTGCAGTAATAACTGGAATGTTGAAATAGCTAGACAACACAAACACCATCTGTCCCACTGCACTGTGTCCTAGGATTTCTGCTCTGAGGAAACACACTACAGAGAAATGTGGCAATAAACAACATTGCAAATATAACCTTCAACTTTCCTGCAATCCTGGGAAATAGAGGCAATCAACACATAAAATAATGTAATGACTTAATGTAATAAAATTTAAGGTGACAGTCTGTATTCTTACTGTGCATTTGGAAAAAAACCCCATGTAACAGGTTATGTGACTGCTCTTCAGTACTTGTATTACTTATATCACTTCTGCCTTTAAATTGTAATTTCTGATGTCCTTAAACAACTTCTAGATACTTAACTTATTTTTGTAAGAATATTTTAGTAGCAGAGAAAAAAAGTAAAAACATCTAAGGAAAAGTAAAAACATCTCTTCCCAGAAAGAAACTATAATAAGATGCAGCAGCTGTTCCCCATCTCAAAGTCACCCCTACAGACTTCCCCCTGCCATGTACTGGAGATCTGCATGTATAAACACAAGACTAAGCTGTGCCTTCTTGTGCCTGATTCAGGGCCTTTATTAGAATTTTTCATTTAGTTGTTCTGTAGATAATAAGAGCAAAGAAGCATTTTAAACAGCAAATGACTAAGAAACATATGCAGTGCACAGAAAACATGGTAGAAAGGTATTTCAGTTTGCCTTACCATCCTTCTGGGAAAGGGCTTTGTCAATAAAATCAGCTGCTTCCTCAAAGTAGCGACTGAGGTTAAATTCCTGTGTATCATTAGCTTTAATGCCATGGTATCTGATGCCTGAGCCTTCATAGAACTCTGCATTAGTGTTCACATGCATGAATGATTTCCCCTCTGCTGCATTCAGAACATGGGTTATCCCCAGACGCTGCAGCCTCATTATGTTCTTGGCTATGAACCTGCATGACAAAAAGTGTCAAGAAAATGATTAGAATTTGGTCAATCACCTCAGTGTTTAGGTATTGATAACCAAACCCGTGGATTTTTCTGTTAATAGATGCCAAATATACTGTGCCCAAAAGTGAATTAGCTACAGGTTATAAATTCACAAAAAATATTCAGAGCCATGGTCCCTACCTGTGCATGAAGAGAATGCTGCTTTCTTGGCTGACACTGAGGAATGCACACATGAAAGTGAATCTGCCTCTGTTAGATTCTGCTATGACATAAAATTCTAACTTTCTGAACATAAAATTCTGACTAAAGTAGGAAAATACTGGAAATGATAACACATTTACTTCTAAGGTTAACAGTTATCACATAAAATAATTTAAAAACCAGTTATAAAAAGCCTCTACTGTCAGGTACCAGTGTTGCAGAGCTTGCTAAGCAGTACTTGCTGCTTTAGCAGGCAGCCCAGACAAACTGACATTTTAGGGGGCAATTTTAAGCACTGTGAAACAGCAGTGGCTTCTTATCAGGCCACAGGAAGAAAGTAACTGAGTAAATGTTAGTTAAATATTCAAAAAATTCATCTGAGGGCTACTAAGAGGTGTAGTCCTATGCCGTGTGCTATTCAACACCTCTGAAGTCATGGAAAGATCTGTCAAGGCTATGCAGAGGCCACCAACACAGAGACACCATTCAGCCTTTTGATCACAAGTGTTAAAACTCAGTGCCTTAGCTGAAATCAGTATCTGGATTTGAGAGAATCCAGATGAGTGATGTTTAAGATGCTGAAGTGCTTAAGAAAGCATTCAGTACTTTTAGGTACCAATGGATATTCTCTTTCTTAGTTATTGTTTTACAGAAATATCCTGTTGGAAGTGCTAATACTTTCTAGAGCACAGAAGCTCCTAGACTGCACAAAATGGGGCTCAGCCTCTTCTCATTTTTGGAAGGAATGCTTATAAGTGCCCACAGGGAAATGGAACACATGAGGTTTGCTCAGTAACCCTGCTGCTAAACACAACTTAGACATGAGTACGATGGCATAAACTACAATTAGTATGTAGTGAATGCATTTTCAGTGGAAGCTAAGTCCTTTCCAACTCCTCAGTTTTCCCAATAATTGCAGCAAAACCATGAGCTTCAGGTGGCTAAAAGTGACCTACCCTATTAGTGAACAATTGAGCTGGATGATAATAATCATGTCTTTCAGGCTTGATTATGACAATTAATTAGATCCAGTAATAATGCCATAAGCTTTAATAAAAGCTCCAGGATGTAAAATGGCAAACAACCCTGCTCAGTAACACAACTGACCATGCACCAACCTCTGCTTGTGCCCTGGAATGCAATCCACAGTAAGAGGAGCTTACAATAAAGTAATATCAGGAGAAATTGACTCCTTTTTGCCATAATCCCACTACTTTTCATTCTGAGTCTTATTGCAATATTTGCCTCACTTTCCTGGGAATTAAAAAAACCCCACATGTTTTATCACTCTATGTGGCCTCCTAGTAAAATCCAAGCCCCACTGCTCAACATCAGCAGAATGTGACAGAAAGCTGGAGCTGAAGGATAACTCAGTTCCTGCACCTCTGTGAAAAGATGTAGCCTAGACAGATTGGTTTTAAAAGCAGCTTTCAGTACGTGTTTAACTGGATATGGAAACAGAAATATTTTTTAAAAGCTCCCCACAGCACAACTCATAAATTGCAAATACAAGGAGTCTTAATATTAAGCTGAGCTCCAGATAAGCATTTGTGCAGTATCATTTTGGACAAGTTTCTGTGAGATGGCAATACATCCAGGGCTTTTGGCTGGACACTTAGGTAATCTAGAAACTTAAAATAAACACCCAAATTAGTCAGTTTACATCTGTATGAATCTCTGAGTCCATTCACTCACAATTTTGATGTAATTCAAGGCCATGAACATCTTGAGAAGTCCTTTCTTCCTGATGACTGCACACCCCTTAAATTCTAGTGAAAGCAGATGAAGATTTATGCATGACTGAAGCTTCTACATTTTCTGCTGTCTGTGCCAAGCAACTATGGCAATGAACCAAATATTTGTAAGACTTCATTACCCAAACAAATGCTGACAGATTTTCCATCTGGCAGGACATCATCTGTGCCAGGGGAGAAGTTTCAGTGTCTGGAGAATTCTGCTTTCAACACAAAAATCCTACAGAGCAAGGCCAAACCAGAAAGTGTTAATTCAGTGGCGAGTTCCTATGCTTAGTAGGGTGAGAATATGGTTTAATTAACATTATATAGATTATATAATATTATATGGATTATAAGTATGTGACTGTTCAGCATCAACAGGAACTCCCATCCTGAAATCATGGTTGAATGTGGCAACAGACTGGATTCCCTGGAGGCAAACTCATTCCCAGTGAATGACTTTTTGCAGATTTTACAAGTGATTTTCTTACACAGCTAGAGGTGAAAAAGAGAGAATTTGTATGCCATTTGTTTCTCCCTTTGCAAACAGTCCTTGGATCTCTCTCATCCTCAACATTTCATTCCAGCTGCATCATGTTGGATGGTGAAATGCTAGCTCCTTCAAATAGCAGAGAGATGCTAGCATCAGCTTCATCTGGTTCCTGAAAAAAAACCACAGAACCTTGTCCATCCTCAATATGGAAGATTCAGAGTTCCTCATGCTGTGAGAAACACCAGTAAGAAGTGTTTCTTTTGAACAGAGATTAATTATTTTACCGGCCACAAAACAGGTTTTGGAGAACCATTCATCAGCAATTTAGGATACACGAGGCTGTGAAGTATTGGCATATGGAATTAAAAGCAAATAAACCAAATTTTTAGTGGCAAAAAATGCCAGCCTATTAACACATTTTAATTTGCACTGTCCTGTCCATGCAAAATTGTTTCCTTACCAACACTCCCCTTAGAGTCACTGAATTTAATATTAATTTTGGGAGAATGCCCTCCATACTCCTTACAACACACCTGCACTTCTAGCACATTAAAAACAAAGAATTGCTTCCTGGGTTACTCACATACATTAAGGCAGACAGAAAAAGTAAGATGGGGCATTCAAACCCAGGACATTTTTACCAAGTACAGTTCTGGAGACATGGCCAGAAGCATTACAGGTTTCCAAGCATCTGGGAAAAACCCCATAAACAAATTCCTTTAGTCAGAGTTCAGAAATCTAACCTGCTCATTTCCAGGTAAAACATTGCTTTTCACAAGAATGGCTGCTCTGGATAAAAAGCCTCCCACCCTGCAGGGTGCTGACTGCTCCCTCTTGTCCCCATTTTTATGCAATCCTGATACAAATGAATTCTGTCCAACCCTTCTGGTCAGATTAAGATGTTACACTGAAACACATCTCCACTTGCACAGAAACACAAAATTATAGGCACTTGCAGTGCAACCCCAATTGTTACTCTGTTACTGTTTGAAAAAGGTATCATTGTGCTAGTCTATCACCTATACAATTCTTGTTTTGCCTAATCTTCTTGAGAGGTCAGAATTGCCTATGGTAATATGGAAACCCATAACTTAAAACTATTTTATCATTTTCATTCATTTTGACTTTCATGTATTGCCTGGGAGAACCATTACTTTGGCTCTGCCTGCAACTTGAAGTCACTTGACAGATAAACTGTTATTTTACACTATGACCCAATTTAACCTCATCAGCCTCAATGTCTCTTTGCTGTCATTTTTTATCTAAAGATGAGTTACTCCTAAGGAGAGACAGCAGCACTGCTGTGCAAAATATTCCCAAAGGTAACCAACAGAAGTTTCTGAATCTCACTCAGAGATTTGAATTTTTTCCTGTGAGTTCCTGCTCAAATTCCATTGCTTTTATAACATGTGCTACTCTGGCTGCTCTGTGAATTTTTATTGTTATAAAATCGCTGTTGTTTGTTATCTAAAACATGACCCTATATTGCATACAGCAAGAGGAAAAAAGCTGGACATGAAGCTCAAAATGATGTTGGAGATTCATATTCTTTCAGAATGACTAATACAGCAAATGCTGCTTACAGTGCAGAATATACCACAGCTCCACTTGATACAAAAAATCCTCTTAAAAATTTTCCAGTTAGAGAATATCAACTTCACCATGCAGTCACCAAATTTTAATGGAAATCCATCTATTCAACTAGTCCTCAGCATTACCTTAACTCTCTGTGGATGCTTCAAAGATATTATTGCCTCTTAAGTCTTGACAAATTCAGTAGATTATCTGTTCCAACTGTGAAATAGTTTTTTCAGCCACAAAGTTATTTCTTACTTTTAGCTGCCCTCCACATTTTTTCAGCATTCTGTTAAAAACACTGACAATACAACTGCATGTTTTCTGTTTATCCAACTAGCAGCTGAACTGTTCCTGTGCTACAAACTGCACTGGTGCTTCAGATATTTCTGAAAAAAACCCCAAAAACATAAAAAGTCCTTCTCAACAGTCAAGATTTCCACTAGACAGAGATTTTTCACTGTGCAACTTATACATGTATCACCTGTTCCTGGACACCCCTGCAGGTGAACATATTAAAGTCTCTGCTCTGTAATTAAAATAAATTACTGAAAATGACAATGGCTCTGTAGTAGCCGCCGCTACCTTCAAAGTTATTTAAAAAAATATTTAATGCACAAATCAGCTTGCAAGCTATGACTTCCTTTTTTTCCAGGAAAAACTACTACTACTATTTTGTAACTACTACAAGTATGAAGGAGATGGTGGCTGTCAGACTCTGAATGATTTCAGACTCATCTCTAGATGTGCATGTCCTGGCAGTGACAAATTTAATTTGGTTTGGCTTAAAAGTAAGTGACAATCTATGATCTTGACTTGTAGTTCTTTAGGAGGTACAAACCTAAAATAAGAGCAGGGATCCAGTATACCAAATGTATTAAAAAAAAAAAACAAACCAAAAAAACCTAAAAATCACAGGGAAGAAGTGCACAGAGTTGGACCAACAAGGGGAAGGAGAATCAGCAGGATAGGACAGGATAACTGAAATCACGATGTGGTGTAAAAAATAAATCCTGATATTCAGAAGATCCCGTCCTGCGGCCTGACTGTCCCCGGCTCGAAGCACCGGGAGCTGCTCGGTGACCGCCCTGCGCCTCACGGCCCGGCCCGGCCCGGCCCGGCCCCTCCGCCCGCCGGGAACCGCACCCGGCCCGGCCCGGCCCCTCCGCACACCGCACCCGGGCCCCTCCGCCCGCCGGGCACCGCACCCGCCCCCCCGGGCCTGCTCCGCGCCCCCGCCCGGCCCCGCTCCGGCGCACTCACGCGTTCCCCACGTGGATGCGCGGCACCACCTCGTTGCTGTGCGCGCTGGGCAGGCTGTAGCAGCCGCTCCCGTTAGACAGGAGCTCGTTCAGCTCCTCCACCGAGATCTGGAAATCGCCCATGGCCGAGCCTCCGCCCGCCAGGAGCCCTTGGCGCTGCGGCTCCAGCCCGGCCCGCTCCCGCCCCGCCCGGCCCCGGCCGCCGCCTCAGAGGCGGGGCCGCGGCAGCTACCGGGGCCGCAGCGCCGGGAGCAGCGGGCGGCCGGCCCGGAGCGGTGCGGGATGCAGCCCGCAGGCCTCACCCTGAAGCTGCTGCTGGTCGGGGACAGCGGCGTGGGCAAGTCCAGGTGCTGGCGCGGCCCGCGCGGGGACCCCGAGCGCGGCCCCGGGCTCAGGCCGTGATTCTCTCCCCACAGCCTCCTGCGGAGGTTCACGGACGGCGCCTTCGAGCCGCGCCTGACTCCCACCGTCGGTGAGCCCGGGGGCTGGGCTCCTTCTTGCTGGGCTGCTTCTTTTTGGGGCCCGGAGCCTAGATCGTGCACATGCGGGGTCTGCCAGGGCGGGCATTCGGCAGTTCCTTCTGACGAGCCTCCCCTTCTAACTCGTAGGTATTGATTTTAAAATGAAGAAAATGGTGGTGGAGGGCCGTGCAGTACAGCTGGCCATATGGGTAGGTTTTGTTCCAGGCAGATGGGGTGTGTTGGGTTTTGAGAGGCGTACAATCTTCAAGAGCTCCTTTTTGTGGTTTCCTCGCTTCCTTCCTGCTCCTCCTCTCTCTTTGCTAAAGTCTTCTGCGTGTTGAGATTTTCTGTAGAATGAGTGTCGCAGACAAACAAAAACACTTGTAAAGGCTTCCTTAGTCAAGGCTTGGCACTTCCTTCCGTTCCAGTGGAGGCTTTGAGTGCTCTTTGCTGCAGTTTCTCCAAGGCTCTGAGTAAAGATGTCAGCGTGAGAGAGAGGCATCCACCTCTCCCAGCCGAGGGTGCGTCAGTGGGCTGGTGCTGCCCAGTCTGAACCCTTGCACACATCTGGAGATAAAGTCCCCGTGGTACACATGAAAGGTGTTTTAGGACTGTTTGGATTAATCCGGAGATAAAGTCCCCGTGGTACACATGAAAGGTGTGTTAGGACTGTTTGGGTTAATCCTGCTTCATGCCAAGACAAACCCATCCATGGGAGAGAGGTGCCTGCACGAGCCAGGAGCAGAAATGGAGTGAAGCAGAGCAAGGTGATGCTCTGGGTAAGGAGCTGGGGGATTGCCTCAAACACTGAGTGTGCAAAGCCACAGGCAGGAAATACTGCTGCTTCAAAGTATTTTAAATTAAAAAGACAGACGTCATGCTGCAAGCTGTTGAGTGGATGAATTATTAGCTTTGTAGCTATCAACATGGTTTTTTTTTCTGGTAATAAGGCTAATCAGGGGTTGTATTGTGTTCTTTTCCCCATTATGTTTTTACATCAAGTCCCCGTGGTACACATGAAAGGTATTTTAGGACTGTTTGGATTAATCCCACCTCAGGCAAAGACAAACCCATCCGTGGGAGAGAGGTGCCTGCATGAGCCAGGAGCAGAAATGGAGTGAAGCAGAGCAAGGTGATGCTCTGGGTAAGGAGCTGGGGGATTGTCTGTAGGGGCTGTGTAGCAACTCTGCTTTATTTTTGTTAAAATCATGCCAAAAAAACCCCACAAACTTTTTCTTGAATTATTTAAAGGTTGATTCAGATTAACTGGGAAACCTCGAGCATTTGTTCTGAACTTCCTGGTGCTGTATTGTCAGCATCTGCAGGCTGAAATGAGATTGCAGCTGTGTGATCAGGATAATTTGTAATATAAAACAAACATTAAATTCTTCTAAGTGGAGTGAAAGAACCTTAGGAAGGAGAGATTTTGTGTGTATGGTCATAGGTAGTTGAGAAAATGCCATTACTAATTAGGTAATTGGGACTAAAATACAATCTCCCTAGTAACAATGGGTTGAATTAGGTAAGTAGTCCCAGTTTTAGTGTATTTTTTTAAAGAAAGAATAAATAAATTACAATATAGCTGTTAGTCTGTCAACTGTAAGCTGTACATAAAAGGAAATAAATTTTTTTCAAAAAATAATATTTGAGTGATTTGTTGCCTCCTTATTGTTTGTTTTGAATTTCATATTATACTTAGTTGCTTACTTATTCATGAGTTTAAGTCAGACATATTGCAGTTATTGAATGAAACTACTGATTTTAAGTTTCTTGCCTACTTAGGTTTGCAGCAGCATTGAAGTAGTTCTTTCTAACTGGATTTGTCTTGTGGTAAAGGAGCAGAGGGAGATGTTTGGAACCTCTCAGTTTCCTTTCCTGCAGAGTCTCACTGGAAAATCAGTTATTCCTCATCTCAGTTCAGCTGGTTTTAAACCCACCTGTGTGGCTGCTTGCCTTTTATGTATTTCTCTGGAGTCCCTTTTCCTTTCCTGTTGTCTCACTCCCGTTCCAGGTGTCTGTTTGTCCTTTTTACTTCCAGTCAAGTCCTCTCCATGCTTTTCTCCCACTCCTCAGCCATTTTCTGCTGCTGTTTCCTGCCTGCTTTCCTCATTCTCACATCTTAATATTTCATGTGTCCTTACTGCTCAGGATTAAAAATGTTACATTTTAAATTTGCTCATCTTGTTTTGTTTAAAGTACCATTTTTTGTTGTTGTTCTAAATGTATTTGATGTTTGTTTGGGGTTTTCCCCCTCCCTCTGTAGGATACAGCAGGACAGGAGCGTTTCAGAACAGTGACTCCCAGTTACTACAGAGGAGCTCAAGGGGTTGTTTTAGGTATGAAATAAATGGAAAAAAAAGCATGATTATAGAAATTGTGGTCTTTATTTCTCCTAAATGTGCATGTCCTTGCAAAAGGAGGTTATCCAAGATAGTCAGAGGAATAATTGTGGCTTTTACAACATTACTCCTCATTAGCTCAAACACTGAATGTGCAAAACCACAGGCAGGAAATACTGCTGCTTCAAAGTATTTTAAATTAAAAAGACAGAGATGTCATGCTGCAGGCTGTTGAGTGGATGAATTTTTAGCTTTGTAGCTATTACATGGGTGGTTTTCTGGTAATAAGGCTAAGCAGGGTTGTGTTGTGTTCTTTTCCCATGATGTTTTCACTTCTTTTTTTCCCCAGAAAATATTGATGTGATTATTGTGATTGTGGTAAGACTTGAGGTTTGTACACAGACAAAGCCCTTTCTCAGTAACAACAGCAATTAGAAAACAAAGGGGTTCTTCCTTTCAGGACTTGTGAAGGCTAACCTTAACTCTGGTGTTCAAAATACTCTTTCTATGATTTTTTATGATTTATGGAAATGCAGTTATTGTTACCAGTGCCCAAAAGTAGCTTTGAACTCAGTCCATGTTTTAGCAGCAGCGTGTGCATGTACTTACACATAAAATTAGGTGACAGAATACCTACTTTAAAATATTCTGTGTGGCCCAATCAGCACTAGCAACAGGTAGAATGTTTCTGTTGGTAAATCTGATTTTCCCTTGCTGAGGTGCTTGTGTTCTGTAATCCTGAGCTGACTTTGGGCGAGCACAGCCCAGTGTGTTCCAGCTCAGGGAGGAGCGTGTGGTTGATGCCTCTTTCTGTAGTTCCCTGGTACCTTTTGTTTTTTCCAGGCAGTAGTTAGGAAGTGTGGATGGATGAGGTTCTGTCACAGTGAAGACTACAGCTGTTAAGCTCCTTTTCCTCTGTTCTCAGTGTATGATGTTACAAGAAAAGCCACTTTCACAGGACTAGGAAGATGGCTGAGTGAGGTGGAAATGTACACCACCTCCAGCAGCACTGTGAAGATGTTGGTTGGCAATAAAACTGATAAGGTCAGTTTGGGAATGCATCCTTTTCCATTCTTCCTGGATTATTTATTCATCACAGTGTGTAAATGTGAGGTAAGTGCTGTAACACAGCTGTTGTGTCAGGAGGTGATTTACTCTGCAACTCAGTTGGGAAGGCTTCACTGCTATCATTTTAGAAGCAAATATTGCTGAAGATTTTAATGGGAGCTTTCCTGGAGAGATGCAATTGATGATAATTCCATTAAGATGGCCCAAGGCTCTGCCCAAAACCTGCGGTCCAGCCCTGACCTCACCTGCAGCACAGCTGCTGCTTCCTGAGCAGCCTGTTGGTGAGGGCCAGGGGGTGGGGAAGGGGAGCTCAGCTCTTTGGCTGGCTGGGGAGTGTGGCTGTGAGGAGCACTCCTTGCTGCTTGTTTCTGGGCTCTTCTGACACATTTAGATGCCTGTTGCATAGTGAGGTGTTCTGCTTTTGCTTTGCAAGGCAAGGCTTTGAGTGTGGCTCTGCTGAGCTGGGTTCTCCTCTGCCCCTCCCAGTGTGCCCAGTTTCAGAACCTGCGACTGACTGCTGGCCTTTCTTCTTCTGCTTGATTCAAAACACAGCAACACATTCAATTCCTGCTGATTTGGCACATGGGGTGGTTCTGGGGCTGTGCTGGACTTGGATGATCCTGGTGATTTTGTGATTCTGTGGTTTGACGTGGCTGCTGTTCAGTTTGACCCCCTAACAGCCAGGCTGGCAGTGAGCTACAGAGTGGCAAAATCCAGTTGATTAATACATATCACAGGCATTTTTTCCTTTCAATAAAACCTCATTTTTGAGGCTTTGTTCTCATTTCAGTGCTGTTTTTCTGGGTACTTTTTAAAAGAGGCAAGTGTAGCTCATTTCAGTCATGTTCTTCATCTGTCTCTGCAGCCTGACCGTGAAGTGGAGAGAAAAGAAGGGCTCCAGCTTGCCAGGAAACACTCACTGCTTTTTATAGGTATGCACCTCTGGGACAAAAACTTCCACATTCAGATGTTTATTTTGGTATTACCAAGCATGAATGTACAATTTTATTTCAGGTTGATGGGCTGCTATCTTTTTAACAATACCTAACAAATACGGGTTCCTTCTGCTGTAATTTATGTGCAGTGGGATGTAGGTTTCAGCTTCTGCATTGACTGCAACCAGAAGCACTTTTCTCTGAAACAGATTTACTTCATATACTGTACAGGCATGAATTTGATATTCTCTTGAAACTAGCAGGATTTTTTAATTCAGAGCCCAGAAAACGGATTTTTTCCTCCTTACTGGTGTCTGCAAGGACCTTGGCTGATCTTTCATTTCCAAGTTTCTGTTGCAGCTGCATAAAAGACAATATTCTTAGAGCAACAATAAAATGTACAATGTAAATATAGGAAGGTGGGGAAGAAACTGAGTTTCTAATGAGAAAGCTTCTTGAAAAGATTTCTAGGAGAAATTGAAACACATAGGGGACAACGCGCAATTCCCTCTGTATTCTTTGTTTCTCAGCTTTGTTGTATTATACAATTATTATCTTCTAGATTTACTGTCACAACCTGAGAACAATTTCTTTTTCTCCATTATGGAGAAAATGGGCAACTGTGGATTTCTTTTTGGTGGAAAAATGTGGTACTTCAGACTGGGATGTATTTCTGTTTATCCTATTCAACTTAAGTGCACCTTTAAGAGAGAAAGGAGAGGAGGTTCACTCATTAAAAAACTCCCAGCTTCTGTCTGGTCCCAAAATACTTTTTTCCTAAGTGGAATACACTCCCTGCAAGTAAGATAAAATAATTTTTTTTCCCCTCCTCCTCCAGAGACCAGTGCCAAAACACAGGATGGAGTGCAGCATGCCTTTGAGGAGCTGGTCATAAAGATCCTGCAGACTCCAGATCTTTGGGATAAAGGCACAGGGAAAAAGGGAGTCCAGCTCATGGAATCACCAGCACAGCAGAATAAAGGGTTTTGTGGTGCCTACTGTGCACTTATTTAAATGTACAGCTGGCTGTTCTGCCTGACAGGAGGAAAAAAAAAAGAGGTGGGGATGAGATTCCAAGCACCAATCTGTGCCATGTTTGATGTGCTATCAGTTGTGCAGATCCAAAACACAAACTCATTAGCAAAATACATTTTTATTCATTAACAAAATACAGTTTCTCCTTCCCTTTTGCACAACTGCTGTCTGCAGGTATTTTTTTTGGTAGCTCTCAGATTTTTCACTATTAAATCATAGTGCTGCTTTGCAGAGAATTGTGCTTTGCTGTATGACATTCAACATGGACTTTTGCTGCAATTCCTGCCTCAGCATAAATTAGGTGGTATTCAATTCTGGAATATTATTGAGAAGCTTCTCTTCCCTTGGATGGCATGGGAGGCTTTGAGGCACCCAAGTGACCTTCATGTAGTTACTGAGCAGGAGTTTGATCAGTGGACAGAATTTCCTGATTTTGGATGATTTTAAAGTCAAAATTGCTACATGTCCCCAGACAGTAAGCTGAGTTATGGTTAATTTTAGGGCTGTGATGAAGAGGATGTGTATTTTAACACTTGTCAGGAAAAGTGCAGGACACTGAAGGTGACCCTGTGCTGTTCTCTTTGCACTGAGGGATGAGTTGCACTCATCATTTTGGGCTGTCACACCAAGGCTGTGGTTTTGCAGTCACTGAGGTTGTCTGCAAACCCTTGTCCTCTTCCAGCAACCACAGATAAAAAATTTTATCAGAATTGATAAAAAACTGTATCAGAAATTGATAAAACTCAATTTGACAGAAAATGTGCTGCCTATGGGAGACTTTGCACTAGGGTGAGTCTGTCACCAGTCCCACTATGAAGTTACCTTTATGTCATTTACACTTTTAATGGCAATATTGTATTTTGCTAACTTACATTAAAATAACTGAAAATTTCAGATGTAACTCGTGCCTTGCTTCTGTTCATGCATATTTCTACTGTTTAGACTATGTTAGATCATAAAGCAAACATACAGCTTTATTTACTGCTAGTCGTGCAAAATATTTTAAGATGTTATGATAGCAACCTTGCTTTGAATCAATTCTGACCCTTAGCATTTTAATATGAATCTTCTAAATATGTTCATGTCTTGCACACTAAAAATCTGTTTGTAACCTGAAATACAGACCTAAGGTGAGATCAGTCTGGCCATTTATTATTTTTATGAAATGACTTAGTTTGAAATGCTGTTACTGAAGTAATTTAAAAAATGTTTCCTTCAGTTTTTCATAGGATCAAGGTACATCTGTGATGAACTGCCTCTCCAAGAAGCCAAATCCTTTTTGGTGGCTGTGCTAGCACAAGGCTGCAGAGCCCAGTGCATGTGGACAAGTCCTCAGCATTTTTTGAGGTCACCAGGCTGCAGCACTGACAAGTGCAGGGACCTGCCTGGGAAAAGTTCTTGTTTTTGTAGCAGTGGGAACAGAACCTCAATGCCCATGGGCAGGACCAGACATGAAAGTTGTCATTTGGAGAGGATGGATGAGGGTGATTCCTCTACACAGCTTTTTGGGCTTGACATAATGTAGATTCAGTGACACTGGTATGTAAGAAATGTACTTTTAATATGCAACTTTTAGTGCTGCTAAATGTCATGGAACAAGAAGAACATTATCTGTTAAGATAAAAGGAACAAGATTGGTACACCAAAAGGTCTTGTTTAAAGGGCACAATACACAGGAAATATCAGACCTCAGCAGGCAAGTGAAAACAGGAACTACTTACAGCCAACATGCACCTGTACAATGCTCTCCCCTTAAATCCCCCAAGGATAAAGCACAGCCACTTGCAGAATCATCTCTGCATCTTCCTAAGACCCACTCAAAAATACTGTATATTCAAGTCTCCCCAAATATATACAAGGTCCTCTAACAGTTTTCTTCTTCAGGCCAATTAGATGCTCTGGAAACCTTTACCAGATTTGGAACAGAAGTAGTCATAAATGCTGGAAGATCATGATTTTGACCTGTAGCTCCTCCTTCTAGTGAATAAATGCTGGAAGGATGATGATTCTGACCTGTAGCTCCTCCTTTTAGTGCCCTTTTTGGAGCTGTTCCATTGGTGTCAAGGCTGTGTCCCACCAGGTAGCACAGGCAAAGGTGTTTTGCAGAAACAAAGCTTCTTAACTGTCCTGTTTTAGAACCATATGCAGTTGTTTTCATGTACACTGTACAAATCTAGGTTTTAGGAGCTGGCCAGTCATACAGGTACACTCAGAGCTTGTTCAGCATGTGTGACTGGGAAAGTTGGCATAAGCTGTGCATGAGCAGACAATACCTGTGAGCTGTGCAAGACAATCTGGAGTACTGGGAAATGTGATGGGTATAAAAAACCCTTTCTATAGCTGGTTTTTAGTGCCTAACTAAAGGATTTGCAATTAATGCTTCTGTGTGAAGGGAAGCACGTTTTGCTGGCCAGTTGAACTTGTGACTAACTGGCATGGTGAAACCTCTCTCCAAAGAACACTTCCCACCCAGCTGAAGGAGCTTGTTCCCAAGGGGGACTTTATTCTGAGGTTTTAAATCTAGCCACAAAATCTGTGGCCAAAGGACAAACCTTCCATCTTGTCAGTGTCTCAGCACAAAATGCTTTGCAAGTGTGGGAACCTCTGCACTATTTCCAGTCTGAAGATCAGTAAAAGACTGGACTGGCTTATTTGGTCTGGGTATCAACTTCTAAATGACAGCTGCTATTCAAAATTTTGACTCAGAAAGGCAGTCAGCTTGTGACATTGTTTAGTCTTTCCTCATACAGTCTTTAATTATTGCCTTCTAGGTAAGACCAGCAGTTTTGAAGCAAATTCAGTGACTTCCCTTTTCTAATTTATGTATTTACAGAACATTTTTATACAGTCTTTCCCTTAAACATGGTAACAAGCTATGACCTAACCCAGCTGACTGGCACCCAAAATGAATCCTTGTTTAGTTTATCTAACACAGTTTTCAGCTCATTACATGCACTCTGGAGATCTTCTTTCACCAGTACAGTGTCAATTAAATGGCCATACTGCTCTTCAATGAATGCTGCTGAATTTATAATTTCCTGCTGTTCTTCATCCTGCTGATCAACACAAGATGTTGGTATGAAATTTACAGCATGTCCTTCTGGTTACTAGCATTTTAAAGTATATTAGCACAATGAGTCAGTACTCTGAGAACATGTCACAAAAGCTGCTACCATTAGGAAAAGGAATTGAAGATACTAAAACTGAGATCAAGGAGCAGTATGCTACAGGCAGCTGTTCCAAAAAATGCAAGGGGCCTCAGGGAAGGGGGAAAATATGTTACAGGAGGGACATAAAATGGTAATAATTCATTTTATGTAGTTAGAGTTGCTGCCTAACCCAAGATATGGGAACCATGCTCCTCAAAAACTGAAAAGAAATGCTGCATACATTGTCCAAGTTCAGTATTTTTGAGGGCTTACACAAAAACTATTGTATTTTCCTCCTCGAGCCAGGTCTAATAAGCTCTCAGAGGAATATAAGATACCCAAGATGGCTCAGCTACCTTTGGAGGCATAGAAATAAGCAGGATGGCTTCTGCTTCAGTGTTGGAAACAAAAAGGTTTAATAAAAGGCAAAATAACAAACAGAAAAAAGTGCAAGAGATCTTGCTCCTGGTAAACCACCTCACAAAAGCCATTACTCCTTTGTTCTCTTCTTTTTCTACCCAATTGTTCAGGCAAGACATTTTGGCTTCTATCCAATTAGCTACCCTTAAGCTGGAGGTGAAGTTACCAAGGTCCTATGAGGTGGCTTTTCACCCAATTGATGAAAGAAACTTCTGGGCTTCTTTCCTTTTTAGGGAGACAAAGGATAGTTTTGTCACTCTGTCAACAAGGGGCACACTCCTACAAAAAACCAAGGGAACTAAGTTCTGTAACATAAATTTGAGTTCAGGTTACCCAAAGTAATGACATTATGCACTCTGTTCAGGTTTACACATCACCAAGCTGCAGCTGATCTAGGTTTGGTCCTCAAGACATCCACACACTGTGTTTTGTGAGTACACCATTAAACACTGGCTGACACTGGTGTGGGTGTCACTTGGGGGTGTAACAAAATTACCTTTTGATGGGCTGCTCATCAGAAATGTAAAATGATTGCTGGTTTATCTGAGTTCAGCAGCAACTTCCCCTGCTGCAGCCTTGATGGTGCACCCAGATCCATATGGAATACTGTCACTTGGCTTCATGTTACTTTAAAACTTCTTCAAAGGAATCAAAAATTCCATTCTGAAGTTCCATCTGAAAGGCTACAGGACCTACTTAGTGCCCCACTTTAACTCTTGTTATGGAAGAGGAGCTCTTTCATGTAACAGAAGTGCTAGCCCCAAGACTTCTTTCATGTCTAAAAAGGAGAGATTAGAAGTTGGAATACTTACAAGGGGGGATGAGATTTCTTCTGACATGTGAGATTTTAAGACATGTTTTTTCTTTTCTGAAATGAGAGGCTTCACAAAGATAACATAAGGCTTAAACTCAGGAGTCCTCAAGTGCTTTACTGCCTGTGAATAGATGATTTTTGGTTATCAGACTTCTTTTTAGCACATGTCCATGAGACTCAAGCTGATGTCACTGGTACTGTGGAGTCCTGTTTCCTACACAGCAATCTTGCTCTTCAAACACAGGCTCATGACAGTGTCCTGGCTAGCACACAAGGGTGCATGGAGCATGGCCTGAAGAGCACTGTGATTCCAAGGGGCAAGGACATGGCAAAAAATACTGAGCAAAGTATAAAAAACCCTGACTTCATGGGCAAGTTATGGTTTGCTTTGCCTAAGCAGCCAAACAGTGCAAATTTTAAACTTGGAATTCATTTGAGGTAGTACCACAAGCCTTCTCCTAGCCCAGTTACAAAATCTGGATCAAAATTTCAAGTATTAACTCACAGCATGGGGTATTAAGAGCAGGTCTGCTGGCACTGCTTACACTGCTCCTGTCCTGGGGTGTTACTGTATTCTGTATCTGCACCCAAAAATGGGTACTGCATCTTTGAGATCCTACAAATGAGAGCCTTGGGGGGGGTATGTGGGTGTGCTATGGGCCAGTGTTTTTAAAATCAGGACTAGAATGGAAACAACAGCTTTGCTCTAAGGATTCTCTCTAGGACCTGAGCAGGCTGGGACAGGGATGCACACTGGTCCTACAGCAAGGGCAAAGTCCCACAGTGAGGACTACTAAAGAGACAGCCAGGCTGTGCTGGATAAAGCCCTTTTCTGACCCAGAGATGGGGCAACTGAGAGGTGTTTTAAAAACTTTATTCCATTTTCAGTCTCATGTGAAGGGTGAGACAATACAGATGTTATAATTCACACCATCACGCTCAGAAGCCAATTATTTCCTAATTACAATACACTGTAAGTGTTTTTTGGCCTATCAGCTTTAGCCAGGCCATGCTGTAAATGCCTTAAAGCCAATCATCTGAAATTACCCCTTGTGGTAATTAGCAGTACCCCTACTACAATGCATTTTTCATAGTTCTATTTCTCTAAATTATCTATTGTTATTTGCAAGGCATGTCCCAGCTGGACATGTAGGAACTGCAACCACTGCACTGCATTCCCAAGAGTCCCATTCTGCTCAGGCAGCAGGAAATCAATCATATTTGCATTTTTTAAAAGAAGCTGCAGAACTTACTTCAGGTACCACATCCACCAAGCAAACCTTCTTCTTGGCCATCACAGACCGGATTGCCTCCAGACTTGTGCCATACAAATTTTCTTTGTACTCTCCGTGTTCCACAAATCTAAAAAGTCAATACACTTTTAAATACCATCTACAAAAAATATTGAGAATATTTAACTTAGAACATTTGATCTTAGAACATTTCCTGAAGTCACAGCAGTCAAAGAGGGAGGAGAGAGCAGAAAACTGGGGGTGGGTGGGGAAGGATTT